AGGCTATATACCGTTGGTTTTCAAATTTCTTTTCCATATTGTTTGCCACTAACTAAACAATTTTATTAAATTAAAATTCCTTTTTCAACAAATTGATTTTTTTGTCATTTTCATTTTCGCTTTTCAAATAAAATCAATTCAATTAAAGTTAATTTGATTTATAAATGACATTTTAAAAATACCAATACAATATGAGAAAAGGTTAAAAATTATCAATCATTAATGAAAGAGAAATAAAGTTATGTAGGTGGTAGATTGTGTTAAATTTAAAAAGCCCCATAATCTACATACATATATACCTTAACTATTGTATAGTTTCATTTATTTTCAACAATAATTCTATTAAGAAGTACAATATCAAAAGAGACTATAGGATGCAAAAATAAAAAAAAAAAATAAAAGTTTTGTTGCACCAATTTTAATTTTAAAAACAAAACAAGAAATTATCGATTTGATTTGCTATTTATAAAAATGAAATAAAATATATTTACATACGTACATTACATACAAATATACACATGTACCAAATTGCATCTTTTATACTCCTATAACCTTTTAGCTTTGTTTTTTTTTTCTATTTTGCACTTAACATCTCATTTAAAGGATTAATCTGAAAATATACCTTCTAAAATTCATTTCTTCTATATAATATTCTTTTTACAAAGAATCGAAATAAAAGCAAAAGTTCAAGGATTTTAGATTTTTTTTAACATGTGTGTTTAGTCAGCGACATCTAACGTCATCATTTTTATGGGAATTTTTGTTTTTTGCTTCTATACATTCGTACTATATAATACGGATTTTTTCATGCGTGTATGTGTGTAAGTTCATGCATGTTTAAAAAGTAGGAACAAAAAATATGGAAAATTTCAGACTGATTAGATAAATAAATAATAATATAATAAAGAATAAATTAAGTATTTATATTTTCACATCTCTATATATGTATAGTCTACAGCGTATATATATATATATGTAAATATTCGTAAAATCTACATACATATAAGCATATAAAAAAAATGAAAAAGTTTTTTAGTTACTTATTAAATTCGGGGAATTTTATACATTTTTTTTTCCAATTATAATTAACAATATAATTTAAAAATGGAATTTTTAGGAATTTTTTTTTTTGGGAGTTTTTGTTAATTAAAAATAAAAATATATAATTTGAATAATAAATATATACACATACATACACATGTATCTAGATGTGTATTATGTTAATTTTATGGTAACAATCGTTGTAGAAGTGTTGACGTTATCCAAATAATTTGTTCCTTTACAGATTTATATGTAAAATAATTGGTTGAGTTCGATTAGAGTAAAACGATTTATTTGAGTTCAATTAGAGAGTAAAATGTCAAAGTTTATAATTAAAAGAAACACTTATTTTTTAATCATAAACTTTGCGCTTAAGCAAATAGAAGCTATATGAGCAATATGAGATTGCAATATTCATAATAATAACAAATACTGATATTCATAGCGCTCTTAATATTCGAACTCGTTCTCAATGGATTATAAAGATAAAGTAAACTATTGTAAAATACTATACCCAAAAATTTTAATTAATAAATTCGAATCAAACCAATAATATTCTCCTTAAACAATTTAACCTTTTATCTTTTTCGCAAGTTATAAGCAAAAAAGCTTGGACGATTAGCAATTTCATGAAAATTCGTAAAAACCACTGCATCTCGGAAATCCTTAAGATTTAACACCTAATTGTAAACAAAAAATAAATTTTATCCATTTTTAATATCCAAAGCGATGATGTATTGTACTCTTTACTGCAGAGTTAAATTTACGACACAGCAGATTTATGAATGAATCTAAAAAATTATTGATATTTTATTTAAATATATTGCATTAAAGTAAATATTTTATTTAATTAAAGTTCTAGGTACTTCATAATTAAATTTTCATATTAACTTAGTAAATATTAATAAGAAAAAAGTCAACTATAAACGATGAATATTAAATGCTAATATCATAGAATAATAATTACACTCAATAATAATCAACTTTTAATATGGCTTCGTTTGGTTAAACTAATTACTGTATAATATGTATACCAGTTATTGTATTATGCACATGAATTATAACGGTAACGCAAACACGTATACGTACTCGTATATTATGTGATAAGCTGTGATGTTTCATAATATTTGAATAGCAGATACAAATACAATTTCCCAATAATGTTTTAATAGCAGTTTTCTTTTTTTTTTTAACATTAAATTTATTGATTGCGATTATATTTGAGAAGCTTAAATCATTTCATTTTCAATCAATTATATTTGAACCATTAATTTCTGTTTACTATAAAGATTAAAATTTAATATTATAGGAATTCAATAGGTCTAAATACATACATAAATATATTTTCAATATTTTTCGTATTTAATGATAAAAATTCTAATGGACGATCTTGGCATACTTATAAATGAAAATTATATTTTTTATTTTATTATTAAATATAATGTATAAACACACATATGCACTTATCTTGACGCATATATTACACAATTATTATTATATGTTTTGTGTATGCTGTTAGCTTCAAGGTCATTTTGCCTTGTTTGATGGTTTTTTGTTTTTTTATTCGAAATAAGCCTTTTCCTGCGTCAATAAAAAAGGATTTTGATTCTTTGTTTTCTTTTATTATTTTTGACATTGTTCTGATTTCAATAAAATCGAACTATAAAAGCAATAAAATGAAGTCAATTTTTTTGTTCTTATTTTTTATTTCTTCTGTTTGTATTATGTTATATAACTATGTGTAAGGTACATGTGCCCCATTTATTCTCTAATGTAAGAATATGCCACATTCACATATAATAATGTGGGTATGTTTTTGTTTTTATGTTCTTTTATCACTATCTTTCCCATGTGATTTCCGGAATAACACTATGTATGTTGAATACAGAATTATTTTCTAAGAATCGTTAGAGTTATTAATTCTTAATGGATATATTGAGGCTTTCATTATGTGAGCTTAACCAATACTGTCTATTTTTTAATTCTTTTTTTTTTTTTTGTTATTAGATAATCTCTTTTCATTTATTTATTTCCCTATTTATATACGATATTGAATTTCATATATAAGATAGTAAATTAAATTTTTATTTATTAATATTGCATAATAGAAATATGTTATATATTTACTATATTATATAAAGCATGTACATTTAAACAATCACGGAAACATTATTATTTATACTTAGAATTTGAAATCGGTTTTGATTTGATTGAATCTGTTGTGTCACTTATTTCGTTTATATGGTAGATTAAGTGCTTGACTTGAATTTTAAATCTGTGTTCAGATTGAAATAATATTATTTGAAATCAACTGGAGTTTGACATTAGTTGACAAGCATTATATATTCATTTGTCATTTCCAATCTTTCAATCGGCGTATATGTAGTCGATTTTAAAGTCAAGCTAATAATTTTGTGGGATCGACTTGTTTTGAACATTTTAAGTCAAGTAGCATTTATATCGGCTCGAAATCCGTTTGAAGTCATAACTTACATTAAATTTATAACTTATCTTTAAAATGTAAAATAAGTACATTTTAAAATATGCATGTAAAAAAAATTCCGTAAGAATCAGATTTTTATAACTTAAATTTTGAATCCAGTAGCTTTAACTTGTATATTTAATGCTATCGGTAAATAGTTAAATTGATTATCTACTTCTAATAATTTTTTGTTGATTGAAAAATTGTAAAAATATTGAACCTAGCCATCTTGAAAAAAACTGTCAAATGCGTTGTTAAGTAGATTCATTACCGTATTTCGTAAAATTTAAATTAAGTATTATTGTTTAACAATTTTCCATCTCTATCATTTCTCAAAAAGAATAGAAGAAAAGTGTACTCATATTTTATACAGCAACGAAAAATCTGTTACTTAAAGTAGAGACGAAGAAAAAAAAAGACATAAAAACGAAACATAGAAAATAGATAAAACTTTAAATGAATTATTGGAAAAGTTTTTCTCGTTTAATGATAGTTGTTTCATTTTTTTTTGTTGTTTTTTTTGGTAATGTTTTTTTGATTGTTTCGTAAAGTTAACCATGTATAGATGGCGTTTTCATCCCAACAACTGTTACAAAAGTAAATTAAGTAAATTATTTTTCTTAGTATTTTTCTATTACGAGGTACTAATTTTTATCTTTACATTAAAATTAAAATAATTCTAGTTACTTATATAGTACGTACATAACATATAACGTACATAGCAATATAATAAGTAATGCGTATGCATGTGTTATGTAAATTACTGTCCTTCCAAAATTTCTAGTCGATTTTTTTTCAATTCAATAAAACGATTTTAGATGAAAATTTAATCGAGTTTTGACGAAACGTAATTTAGACACGTCTAGGTATCCCTTTATTGCAAACACATATATTACAAACTCTCTTATTTTGTAGGAAGTAACAATGAATAAAACGTCAGTTATTATTGAAATGAAAGAGTGTGAACTAGGAAATTAATTTAGAGATCGATTTTCAGTCTTAACGTAATTTTTGTATACTTGCCGTATTTTTAGATAGTCGTGCACTGTTTATAAAAGTATCCAACTTTGAGTTATCTGTGCAAAGTTTTAGATTTAGTGATATTTAAAATTTTTTGTTGTTATTTAATTTAAGAACCTTAATACTAAGAAAAAAAGTTGATCTATAAAAAAATTTTAAGTTGAAAATACCTGTTTCTTTAAAAATTATTGTAGAGCAAACATTATTATAAAAATCTTCATTTTACCTAGTATGGTCGACCATTGCAACTTATGATCATATTCGTTAAGAATTTTATAGTGAGTTAGTTCATTGGCTCATAATAAATAATTCAAATTAAATAATTCATTAAATGTTTTTTTGTTTTTTATTGAATCATATTTTTTTTTAGTTTCGATATTTACTAAATTTGTTTTTGATTTCAACATTACATAATACATTTCGTTAAATCATAAAACCTTCAATAAATATTTTTCAGGGATGCTTCTTTAATAAATCAAAAAACAATAAAAAATAACAATAGTCAACCGACATCACACAACAATACGTTAAAAAGATCTACAAAAAATTTAAATAATAGTAATAATATCAATAAAATACAAAATAATTCTAATATTATAAACAATTTACAACGTTTACCTCCCGTTGTATTACAAAAAAAATGTAGTAATTGTGAAGATACAAAAAAATATATAAAGACATCTATTGAATTATTTCATCATTTTTCGAATCCAAGTTTAAATCGTCGATGGACATGTCATATTTGTGAATTAGAAAACAATTCAGTTACATGGCATTGTCTAAATTGTGATAGTGTTAGTTATTTAGCACCAATTTATAAGGAAACTTTAGTGTATAATCGTAATAAACAACAGCAGCAACTACCATTGCAATCACAACAAATTATTGAAAATAATATAAGTGGTGATAATACAGGTGCAACAACTAGTACCAATACTACATTTAATAGTAGTAGCAATTGTGAACAAAATCAACAGGAACAACATTCACAATCAACACAAAAGAAACAACAATTGATAAAATTGAAACAAAAATCAGTTGATGGAATTATAATATCAAATGATGAAAATTCATCAAATGATGGTAGTAGTAATACTGCTATCATTAATCCAAGAAATGAGAGAAAATCTGCAAATGGAAAATTTTTAAGACGTACTCGTAGTCTTAGTATGGATTCAGGTAGTTGCCGAAATCTAACGAAACGATGCCATATTTGTTTAGTTAATTGTAATAATTTATTCAATCAATCTGGTGGTGCCGATTGTAAACACTTTAATTTTCGTTTACCAAATATTAATAATAAAACAAATACAACAGCAAACGATGATGACATAGAAGAAAATATTTTAAATAATATAGATAACAACGGTATCAATATTAATCATAATAATAGCAGTAGTAATAATAGTGATCATAATTATATAAGTGCTGGAGGAATAAATAGCAATGGACGCACTTCATTAAAGCAAACTGATAGTGACAGCTATAAATTGAATTATATAACACGTTCAAATTTGTTGTTAACAAGGAATGAAAATGATATAAATAATCGCGATCATGAAATTAGTGATGATAATAAAATTAAAAATCAAGAACAAAATAACGATCATAATTTAAGAACATTTAATAAAAGTTTATCAAATATTGGTGATTCATTGCACGGTAAGAATAATTGCTCTTTACTACCATATACATTGAAATTACTACTTTATTTAAGCATTTGTATATTATTGTTTATTTTCCCTTCTAAATCCATTTTTTTTGTTCAGATTCTGATATTTTTTGAAAAATATTATAATTCCGTCATATATGATTAAACATAGATTATTTCGAGTGCGAAATGCATGTTTTTAAATATCATTTTAAGGCAAATGTACTACATATACACGAAATGCGAGGGTAGAAATTGCAGAAAATTCGCATTTTCTGCGTTTTCATCAATTTATATTAATCACTAAGTTATGTTATAATTTAATAGATATTTAATTAAAAAAAATGTAGTAGACTAGTTTTGTTATTATGTACATTTGACAATTACTAAATGCGACTAGAGCGTAAAGTTTCCTACAAGAATTTTGCATTTTTAGCATAAATTTGTAAATGCGCCATCGAATCTTTGGTAAATTTTAGTAACAGGTCTTACTTTTAGTAATTATTGTGTCATATATAAGATATCCTAAATAAAAGTCCTCTAGAAACTATTAGAAAAGTTTAGTAAACTATTATTGTCAACATTTTTTTGATATTTTACCATATTTTACAATTAAAACTATTTTTTTACATATTTTAGGTGAAAAAGGGTCGATAGCACATTACACCCGGCAATCGTCCTTACCTGAATCTAGTTATCCGAAACAATATAAAAAGTTTACAACCTGTGCTCATCATCACTATCATCAACAACATCACCAGCAACTCCAACAACAACAACATTTACAACAAACACATCAGTTACAACAATCACAACCGCAGTGCGATATTTGTGGTGTATGTAATCGTATTACAAACGATATTAGTTCCAATTCAATATCAAAACCTTCATCAACAAACCTAAGTAGTAATTTTACAATAACAACATTATCACGTTCACCGAATTCATCTTATCAAAAACAATTACAACAAAATACAATAACAAATCGTTCAAGCAGTAAAGCAGCTGCTGCATATTCAACATTGCCGCGTAATGGTGGAATATTAATTGCTGTTAAAGATTGGTCTAAAAATCCAGTTATAAATAATACTGAAATATATTATGAACGTTTAAATACCGGTAAAATTATGCCAAACCCTTTAGGACAGCATCAATTGTCAACAATAGTAACAACATCACCATCATCTTCATCAATTAATTATCAACAGCAACCTAAATACGAAAATCATTCAATTATACGTAGAAGGCAGCAAGAGATTCAATTATCAACATCACCATCATCCATAATTCCGATCAATAGTTCATCTTCGTCTTCAACATCAGCATTGAAATCAACGGCAGAACCAATATATGCTGTTGTTAATAAATTTAATAAAGCTAAAAACAAAATTAAACCTCAACCAGAACCAAAATTTTCATATATTGGTATATCCGATCCAATAAAATTAAATAACAAACCTGATATAATTTATACTCAAATAAGTGATATGACTAGCTCAAGTAATTCTGGAAATAGTGCAACAATAATTGCTGCACCAGCGGCTATTATTGTTGCTGCTAATAATAACAGTAATAATAATAATATAAATAGTAATAATAGTAATATAAGTGCTGCGATTAATAGTAAGTTAAATAATAATGTTAATAATAATAACAATAATAACAATAACAATAATAATAATAATAACGTTAATAATAATAGTAATAGCAGCAAGCTTCCAATTGTTGATCAACAATTAATTACAGCAACAAATAATATTGGAAATTGTGGTAATAATGGTACTAAAATTAATAATATGTCATTAGTACAGACAATATGTTATATAACACTTGTGACTTGATTGTAAACAAATTGATTTACACAAAAAAACATTTCATTTAAATTAACAATATCGGTCACTAATGTCATATAATACATTGATGATATTAATGATATGGATTCAAATACTTGGATAAAATTTTTAGATGGCGTAACAATAACTGGAACTACTACTGCTGCAACAACAGCAATATCTGGATTAGGTGGTAGTGGTGCCGGTAATAATACATCATCAATAATTAGTTCATCGAATTCAACGACAAATATTTACGCCAATGATAAAAACGAAAATGAGAATTCAATATATGCGAAAGTATGGAAAGGCCCCAGAAAAACTGTGGAAACAAAAATGTATGTCATATAGCATTAATTACACAAATTATTTTTATACTTTTAATAATATAATCAAAATAGTTAAGTTTAAAATTTTCAGAGCAAATTTTTTTTATTAATCTATTACATTGATTTAATCTTAACAATGCAGTAGAGTGTCTAGTGCATATAATTAGCAAATAAATAGTTATGTACATGTTTTTAATGAACATAACTTTTAAAGATCTTAAAAAAATAAAAATACCGCGAATACTAAAAAAATTTGCTCACAATTCTTATTTATTTATTTTTGTTGCAAAATTTTTTTTTTTTATTAATAAACACTTAAAATTAATTTTGCATGAAATTGCATGTGATTTTTATTAACCAAATTGCAAATATTAAAAATTTTAGTTTATTTTAATAATAGTAAATATTTTAAATTTTTTGTATTATTTTTTTAATTGAATTAAAATATAAAATAAATATTTTTCTTTTTAAAATTTGTTTATGTGTGTTTTTTACTAATGATAGTAACGATCAAAACGCTTTCTTATTTACATTTTGCATGATTAATTTTTATTTTGCTAAACTCAGTGAAAAGAAATTAAAACATCCTGCAGATCTTGAACATAAATGTCGAAAAGAAGTACTTCCTTCTTATTAGAAGAAATATTTTATCACCACGCATAACTTATTATACATGATTTTAATTAAAGCGCAGATCCATTAGCAAATACCATTCAGAAATTAAAAATAAAATATGTGTTCGAATTTTTTCATAGGCGGGCTTCTAATTTGTGAGAAACATTATTATACCATTACGAAATTAATTAGTATTATTAACGAAAATTAACGCAACAGTGCACTTTAAAATAAGCTTTACGTTCTCTTTCACTTCACATTTTTTATTAAACATTTATTAAAAATGCTTCATACAAACTGGTGGTGATAATCCTAAAGCTCAATAATAAATTCAACCTGTTGAACAGCGTGTGTGTGATAATGTTACTAATGTTTTCTTTTTGTTGAAATTAGCCCCCTTTATTTAACTGAAAGTATAATTTATTTTTAATTTTATTTACTATAATTATTATATATGTCGTCATATAGTATTCAACTTTTGCGATCGAAATTGAATCAGATAATTGTTCCAGCAATCCAGTTATTTAAAAGGTATCAGAACAAGATTGGAAAAGTTATAAAAATTTTGTAAAATTTTGTAAAATTTTGTAAAGGTTTTTCATATTAAGTTTGTTTGATGACTAGAAGTAACACCACGAAAAAAGTAATAATTATTCTACAATTTATTTGGTAGTATTTCATGTCATTCAATAAATTTTATTATGTGATTTCAACGAATCATTCAGTTTTTCTCATTATTTTTTTGTATTAAACCGAGTTTGTTCCATTTTCGAGATTGTTTCACAAATAATATTCCATACTTCCATTTTACATCTAATTATCTATTCTCTTTTTTAAAATATTTTCAAGTAAGTATTCTAACATTTTTATTTTCATTAATTCAAGTTCAATGTAGAATTATTTAATTGCACTCGTACTTACTTAAAATGATTTTTTAAAAATTGTTATAAGTACATATACATAAAACCAATTCATTTTTATTGAATTTTAATACATAAAATATTTTATTTCGTAATCATTAATATTTTATGAAACTAATAAATTACAGGACCCAACCAATATCTAAACAAATAAGTAATAACGGTAATAATCCAGCAACACATGGCGGATCTACAATTAAAACGGCATTAGCATCTCAATCGTCATCTTCATCTTCTTCAACTTCGACCGCTTTAACTCAACCTAGAATGTGGACTTGCACAAAGTGTTCATACGCATACAATCCGCTGTGGGCTGAAAAATGTGATATTTGTGAGTCAGCAAGAAGTCAACCCTCGTTAACACAACCTAGTTTAATAACTGTTACAAAAGTCCGCGACACGGTAGCCCCTTCAATAGGTATAATACCACATACAATCTATAAATTTGATTTTATATTTAAGGACACAAATGAAAACGATTATGTAAAAATGTTTTTCTTTATTTTGCCAAATGAAATGTCTTTCGTTTTAGAGTCTCGCAAAGAATTGAAATGCAGTTCGAAAATGGGTCAATCAAAATCATCACACGCTTTTGATGAGGTTCCATCTGTCGTTGAAGTGCCAATAGCAACTTTTGAACAAGATCTAGAAGACGATTTTCAATTTATTCCAGGTAACATAATAACGAGATTAAACAAGATACCGTTATATATAAGCGACTATAAACAAAACAATAAACTTTTCTAGGTGATACAAATGCATCATCAGTTTCAGTACCATCGTCATCAGTAAACGATCAAGAATGGACATGTAAAAAATGTACTCTAGTCAATTCACCATTATCTATGGCATGTGTTGTTTGCGGCGGCTCTAAACTTCGCAGTATTTCCGCTATCGAAGATATGACATTACGTAAAGGCGAATTTTGGGCCTGCGTCCAATGTACTTTGAAAAATTCCTTATCAACAAATGTGTGTGTAGCTTGCAAAGCTGTAAAGCCAATTCCAATTATATCAGGTCAACAGACAAATTTTCGTCCATATACTTCATCATCATCTGCATCAGCTATTGCAATAGCGCCATCAGGTGGTGGCAGTGGTACTAGTGCTGGCGTAAATCATCATGGTAATAGTAACAATACGGGTATTAATAACAGTAATAAAGCAACGTTACATAATCGTCAAATATTATCATCAATACTTGGAAATAGCGCTAATTCGAGTAATTCAAATATAAATATTTCAACGAGTTCAGTGCAACATTCATCTTTAGCTATACCATCGATACAAAATCAATCGCATCATCAATCATTACAACAACAACAGCAGCAAATTCAACGGCAACATATAGATTCGTCCCAGCAATCAAACTCGAATACACAAATTAGTCTAGCTCCGCCGATTCAAAGAACTTCGAGAAGTCCATCGCCAAGACATGATAGAAGCGCATCAGGTGCAATACCGAAGGTATGGCCTAAATTTTTCTTCTGTTAGATTAAAGTTTTAAAATATTTCATTTTACAGCGTCATAGTACTGGAGCCGTCGTACCACGAAATGCACCGTCGTCTTCGTTTTCAAGCAATTCGAATCCAACGCCTATTGTAAATTATAATCGTCATAGTAGCAGCGGCTCAACCCCAACATCAATTAAAACGTGGCAATGTCCTGCTTGTACATATGAAAATTCGTCTGCTAGTGTTGTATGTGATATTTGTTCAAGTCCTCGAGGTCTAGCAAGTGCTATGTCAGCGGCTGCGTTAGATGGTATGAGTAATTCTGGCGGGGTAACATTAGATTTGAGCCGCCAGGAATCGAAACTAATGGAGAATCTTCGACAAATCGAAGAAAGTGAAGCTCGGAACAAATGGGAAAATATAATACAATATTGTCGGGAAAATAATGAACTTTTTGTGGACGATTCTTTTCCCCCAGCACCAAAATCGTTATATTATAACCCAGCTGCCAGTAATGATGGTAACCCAGTAGTTCAATGGCGTCGTCCACATGAAATTAATTGTGATGGCGGTGCATTTCCTCCATGGGCTGTATTTCGCACACCACTGCCATCTGATATATGTCAAGGCGTTCTTGGTAATTGTTGGCTATTGAGCGCATTAGCCGTATTAGCAGAACGAGAAGATTTGGTTAAAGAAGTTTTGGTAACAAAGGAAATATGTCCTCAAGGAGCCTATCAAGTAAGATTATGCAAAGATGGAAAATGGACCACAGTTTTGGTAGACGATTTATTACCATGTGATAAACGTGGCCATTTAGTTTATTCACAGGCGAAAAGGAAACAATTATGGGTGCCACTTATAGAAAAAGCCGTTGCTAAAATTCACGGTTGCTATGAAGCGTTAGTGTCAGGAAGAGCTATTGAAGGTTTAGCAACTTTGACTGGTGCTCCATGTGAAAGTATACCGTTACAACCGAGCTCATTGCCAATGCCTAGTGAAGATGAACTAGATAAAGATCTAATATGGGCTCAATTGTTAAGTTCAAGATGTGTTAAATTTTTAATGGGAGCCAGTTGTGGTGGAGGTAATATGAAAGTTGATGAAGATGAATATCAAAGCAAAGGACTGAGACCAAGACATGCATATTCCGTCCTCGACGTTAAAGATATACACGGTCATCGATTATTAAAACTACGAAATCCTTGGGGACATTATTCTTGGCGAGGTGATTGGTCTGACGATTCAGAAATTTGGACTGATGAATTACGTGAAATACTTATGCCGCATGGTGCTTCCGAAGGTGTTTTTTGGATATCTTTTGAAGATGTTTTAAAATATTTCGACTGTATAGATATTTGTAAAGTAAGATCTGGTTGGAATGAGGTTAGGTTACAGGTACACTAATGCTCAAGTCTAAACAGAAACAAAGTTTTATATATATATTTTAATATAGGGAACGCTTCAACCACTGTGTTCATTATCTTGTGTACTATTAACAGTACTGGAGCCAACTGAAGCGGAATTTACATTATTCCAAGAAGGACAAAGAAATTCTGAAAAATCACAAAGATCTCAATTGGATTTATGTGTTGTCATATTTAGAACAAGATCTCCAGCTAATCCGGAAGTTGGAAGATTAGTTGAACATAGTAAAAGACAGGTAGGATTAATTTGAGCTAAAATTTTAAATGAAATGAACAATATTTGTATTTAAGGTGAGGGGTTTTGTTGGATGTCATAAAATGTTGGAAAGAGATATTTATTTGTTAGTCTGCTTAGCATTTAATCATTGGCACACTGGTTTAGAGGATCCGCAACAATATCCACAATGTGTTTTAGCAATACACAGTTCGAAAAAATTATTGGTGGAACAAATTAATCCTCCACCATTTTTATTAGCAGATGCTATTATTAGTCTAACACTGACCAAAGGGCAACGTCACGAGGGAAGAGAAGGAATGACAGCATACTATTTGACAAAAGTATATATATTATACAATATATAATATATGTTAATTTTTTATCATTCCAAAAATTTTTAATATTGAAATTGTAATTATTTTATTAAGGGTTGGGCAGGATTAGTCGTAATGGTTGAAAATCGACATGAAAATAAATGGATTCATGTTAAATGTGATTGTCAAGAAAGTTACAATGTAGTTTCAACTCGAGGAGAATTGAAGACTGTTGACTCTGTGCCTCCTTTGCAAAGGTAATGCTAATTTTTTCTTGTTGTAAATACAAAAGTATGTGACAAAATTTGTATTGTTCTATATTTAAGGCAAGTAATTATAGTACTGACTCAATTAGAAGGTAGCGGGGGTTTCAGTATTGCCCACCGTTTGACACATCGTTTAGCTAATTCACGTGGTTTACATGATTGGGGACCACCAGGTGCTACACATTGTCCACCAATAGATAGCGTACATGGATTACATGCTCCACGTTTAATAACATGATTGAAAAAAACAGTAAAGCAGGAGTATTAAAAAAAACAAAGTCAGATAAAAAAAGTAAAGACATTATAGATAATATAAATATAGAATAAAAAAAATATTTTAGGAAAACAATAATTATTATAATAAGTAAAATACACTTTAAAAACAAACACGAAACAAAAATAAAAACTGTCAGAAATTTGTTTAAGTAATTGATAATTAACAATAATTAAAATAACAAAAAAAAAAAGAAATAATCAAAATATAGGCATAGCAAATTTCTAATTTAGAGAGAGTTTTCATTCACATTTATTGTAAAGTATTTAAAAACCTACACAAAATGTTTCAAACCCAATAAGCAATGCATTTATTTAAATTTTTTTTGAATTGAATGAAATTTTGTATAGTTTTATTCAACATGCAGTTCCAATGGACTAATTTAAATATTTAAGCTGAATACAACAAGTAACAATAATAAATTATAAATGTACAATATTGTACTAACCTTTGCCAAGTTTTACATATTTCAGACATACTTACTTTGTTTATTCGCAAATAAGTCATAATTTTAACAATTGTATCTTTATTTTACATATAACTTAAATCTTTACATTTTTATATATATTGCGTTATTTTCGTCTTTTTTTGTTTTTTTTATTTATATTACACTTGTATGTTTTTTTTGTTTTTGTACAGAAATCATTTAAATTTTAGAATAATATTAAATATACTTCAAAAATAAAACACTTTTTAATTTGTAATTTCGTACGTAAAAATTAATATTTAAGAACTTCTATAATTTTGTATATACAAATGAAACGAAAATGAAAACTCTTTCTTTACCACAAAAATAATAACTAAAATTTTGTTTTTATAACAAATATTACGAAATATTTTTATTTAATTTATGTGTATTGAAAAGTATGTGCATTTCGTATTAAAAGTTATTAAATCTAATATAATTTCAATTTTTAAATGTAATTTGTCAATATATACAAAATGAAATAATATTTTCAATTTTTCCTTAACTTATATTAATGGCAAATAATAATCTTAAAATTATTGTTTGGTATAAAATTGATTTTTTTTAATAATTAAATGCTAATCATTTCGAATCATTTTAAGGAGTGGATAGAAATGAATCGTTTGAATTTTTTCTATTGATTTTGATTAAAAATTATTAGAAAAAATAATTTGTATCTAATTAATAATGTTTAATTTCATGAAACCTATGTATATTTGAATTGACAATTCTATTTCGAAACAAAATAATTTCAAATTTAAAATATTTTTAAATTATTGGTTAAATGATTTTTTAAGTTCTTATATATATAAAAAGTATTTATTAACGCTTTATTTTATCTACTCCAATTATTTTTTTTAAAATTTTGATTAAAAAAGACTATAAAAAGTAGAACTTAAAAAAATTTTTAATTGATACAAAATAAATTAATAAAAGCAGTAATGATGTAAGAAAATAAATAGTAATTTAATAATCAGATATGTTTTCTTTTTTGAACTGTTTTTAAATATTAATATTAACTTATTACATTAAAAATAGAATTCAAAAATAAAAAATTAAGACATACCAAAATATTCGCACATATACATATAGAGAAAATTATACGTTATCGTAAATATTTTATTTTTATCAAAATTTAGGGTATGTTTTGGTACAATATACTATTTATTATACCCTGATTGTTCACTTAATTTTTCAGTTTACTTAAAATACAATCAAAGATGTTCATAATCAGAGAATATTTTGATTTTTGATATAGAAATTTTATTTTCGATAACCACAATAATACATTATAGTAAAATTATAGTCTGTTACGAATTTAATAAAAGTGAACACTTATTTTTTTAACTAGCAATCAACGGCTTAATTTTTGTCATCTTTGTTCGCTGGACACGCTCTTATTTAATAATTTTGATATGAAAAAAAAATTACTTCTCAATGTTAGCATTCAAATATTCTTACTTTAAATTTAATTCAAATACATGATTTGTAATATTTATCAGAATAATATTCATTTTAATTAAATATTTACATACTTATTATTTCAATTTGAACTTTAAAAAAAGATTTTAAAAAAAGATATTATAAAATGATAATACAAATATTCTTTTTCAAAAAAAAACTAAAGAATTCTTGTTAAATTTTGTTTTATATGTTGACTTGATAGATTCTTCAAATGTTTCATCTAAATTTAAATCTATTTCTTTATTACATATATATTACTTATTTTAAGAATTGTAACAATGAAATTTTTATAATAAACGAGTTATTGAATTTGGCCTAAAATTGATTAACTTTAGATTAACAAAAAATATTATTTAATTAAAAAAGAAAATTTTATTTTAGTTTTAAAATTGTGATAAAAGTTTATTAAAAATTCTTTTTTGTATATTTTGAAATATTTAATATAAATTTTATATGTTTGTACATATATAAAAGGTATTTTAGAAAAACAAAATTAATTTTCAAAATTAGGTTATAAAAAATCGGAATATTTCAGTGAAAGGGTTATAATAGTTGACTAACCAACAAAATACGATAATTTAAAATTGTCTTCATTGTATTTAAAATAAATTGTGTTATTTAAGTTATAATTTAAAAATGTTTAAAAAAAGGAATCAATTAAAAAGAAACAAGAAAGAATAATAAAATTAAATAAACTTAATTTAATTAACTTGATAGTAATGAAATTAAGTATATTATTTTATTGAAATGTTCTGATTAAAAATTATACAAAATTTATATAAATAATAAATATTATATAATCTCTAAAACTTATAATTTTATTAAGTAATTTTATTAATTTCTTATTACCTTTCCTTTTGCACTAATTGCTAGTAGGGTAAATAAGTGTGAAATATATATAAAGTGCATTATGTTAATCTACGTTCCACTTCTTGTAGTTGTAGAATTTTAATATATAGCATAAAAAAGAACATTATAATAAATTAATAGTTAATATTTTTTTTAATTAAGTACACTTGATTTGATGAGGAATTCATACTGTTCAAACAAAGTCAACCACAAATGTAATTTAAATAAGTATTAACTTAACGGAACCCGACTTTTATTTAAATTTAACTATGATTTAAAGAAATGTAGGAGAAAGTAATGTTCAATTGTAATTAATTTACCCCTTAAATACTAATATTTGTAGTACGCAACTGAAGAAATAACAATATTAACGTTTCACTAAAATAAAATTAAATGGCTTTATTACAAGCTGCAGTCTAACAACTTTAACTTGAGAATAACTTTTCGTTTAAAAATTGTTTTTTAAAAATCCTCACTTTACACTTTTTTTTTTAATATAATTGTGAGTAACAATACATTTCTCATTAATCAAAACTCATTTTGAATTTAAAAAAAAATTAATATTACTAAATAAATCATTGCAAAACAAAAAAGAAGTAATTACACAAACAAACCAAAAAATATTCGTAACTATGAATATGTAAGGACACATAATTAATAAAACTTAAAATTGTTTAAATACAATAAATGTAAATTTTTTTATTTATAAAACGGAAGGAAAAAAATTGAAAAAAAAATTAATAAAACCTTTAATAAAATAATAAATTTTAGATAAATGTATTATTAATGTAATAAAAAAAAAAAACAAGGAAACATTGTTTGTGAAAAATCACTAGTTAATTATACAAAAATTAAAAAAGAAAACAAAATAATTTGAACATAAAAATAAAACTGAAAAAAAAAAATGGTCTTTATTTCTCACAAACAAAAAACAAAGTAATATTAAACCGATATTTATAGTACTTTTGTATAATGTTTCGCTGCGATTATTGAAAAGACTTCTTTGCCAAATTTTAGTCCGATTTTCACCAATTCTTCTCTTTACGTATTTTTTTACTAAAAGCTTTTTACAATTATTATTAAAACCTGAAAATAATCAAGTTTTTTTTCATTTTATTTTAAAGTTGTTTTTCAATCAAAAAAAGTATTTGAGATCAAAACAAATTTATCAAAACCTGATCAAAAAAAGTATTTCTAAGGCTTGAAGTGTTTAATTTCATATTCAGCTAGTAATCCATTTATAAAAGTTCTAGTTTTAGAAATTCTATGATAGTCACTATGTTCTGCAAGATTGGCCAGTTCATTATATTCTGCTTGTGTTGTTTTACATAAATAACAAGAAAATGAATTAACTTTATAACGGTTTTTCCATTTCTCCTCTAAAAGCAAATGTTGTGGATTTCGTAGATGATTTAGATATTTTTCATTATCGTCATGAGCAACATTACATATTTTACAATGTTTTAAGCTTATAACATGCTCTTTAACATGAGATTGTAATTTTACAAAATTACGAAATGTCATTTCACATTCGGTGCACCGAAATATTGGTGATTTTTGTATTGGATTCAGATGCTTAACATCAACATGACGTTCAAGCAAATATTCTGTGGCATACGCCCGACCACAGATTTGACAAGAAAACTCTTCCGTTGGATTTTTTAAAAATTCGATTGTAGTATCTCCAGATATTTTGTATTCTCTATTAGATGTAGGTGTATCATATACATCATTAAAATTATGTGTTGTTTGATCTTTGAAGGTATGTTGTTCTAAATGTTTCCTAACACAAAAAAAGTAAAAAATTAAATGAACTTGTAAATGTTTCTTATAATGTGTTTCTTACTGGCACAATTCTTCTGAACTAAAACACTGTTGGCATATACTACAGAAATATCCAACTAGATCCTTTTCCTTCATTTTTAAAACATTTAAATATTCTAGATGAGAATCTTGGTCTTTTTTATTATCTTTTGAAATAGGACAAAAAGACTCTTCAGAAATTGAATAATCATTTAAAATCTTCCTTGATCTTTTTTTTCTTTTTGTAAGTGTAGTTTCACCATTTTCAATTTGCTTTGTTTTTCTGCATCTATATTCATGTTCAATATTTTTCAAGTAATCAGCTGAAACTTCGCCACAGTAGCAACACAACAAGCTGATCTCAGCGTGAACTCCTTCATGGTCACGATAAGATCTAATATCTGTAAAAGTTAGACCACAATGTTCGCAACAATGAAATCCTAGAGTGAGTAAATTGTTATTTTTTTTAAGTAGAATTTCATTGAAAAAGATGTCATCATCTGGAATATCACAGGTTGGTTCCTTTTGATAATCTGTCGTAAAAGAACCTTCATCATTTATTTCAGCCAAAATCTCATCTTCACTCTTAAAATTTATTTTATCTAAATTCATTTGATTAAATATGTACTTTTCAATCATTGAAAAATTATCGTAGAAAAAATTATTTAAACTATCGTTTGCAAATGGACCAGAAATGTTACACTGAATCCCAACATGTTTTGTTTGTTTTACACATCTTTTGCTTAGTTTTGGAGAATTTCGAAATATATCGCCCTCGCTGTTTATGCAGAAATTACCAGTATCACTTGTTTCTATTCTAAAATTAGTTAAAATTTTAAAAATTAACTAAAAAAGAACTACAAATACCAAATTACTCGATTTCTTCTTGATTTGGCATTCTAGGTAAATTTAAAGTTGGCATTGCAAACGGCTTTAAATCCTTTTCCCTTTTAAAATGTCCTTAAAAATGATATTTTATTTATAAATAATTGTAATATTAATAATTTATATAATCTTACTTAGCGACCTATGAATGTAGTCTTCTTCTCTGAAATGTCGGCTGCACATTCGATAATTTGATTTCAAAAAATCTTCTTCTTTCAGAAAAGGCAAAGCATCGAGCCACCTTTGTTTTTCATCTTTTGATTCAATAACACTCTTCCGAATTTTGTGAAATTTTATGTTTTTGTCTTTGCCAAATCTTGTTTTGCATCCAGGTATAAAGCATTCCAGTCTACTCTTCGCTTTAGATGTCATAATCTAAATTTGAAATCATAAAGTTCGAAACCGAAGACCTAGAGTCAAAAATAAACAATATAATGTATGTACACAAAATTACTACTTCGATTGACAGCGGAAGATGGTATCGATTTGGCGATTAATGAAAATAAGTTAAATCACATTTTAAGTAAACAGCAGTCTGCACAGGCAAATGTTATTTTTATTATTATTATTTATTAGATTGTGTCATGCAGTTGAAAAAATATTGACACTTCTGGCAACAAACATTTTTTTGTTTTTTAGTTTTACTAAAATTGCAGATGTCACATCAAGCTAACCAAATTATATTTCATATTTTTAAGCAGAGAATACAATGATAACAGAACTCAATTTAACTCAACTTAAATGGGAAAACAATTCATTTGGCATTTGCCAAAATGCTTTTCATTAAGATTATTTTCTAAAAATGTATTATATTGAAAATAATATAATTTTACATTTCTTTGAAATACAATAAATTATTAAATTTAAAGCCGTATGATAATTATATCTTTTAAAGATTTGCTTAGAAGTACATATAATGAAATTTTACCATTAAATATTATTTCATTATTGTACACAATAGACATAATTTAACGCAAAATAATTTTCAACACTACTAATATTATTATGAACTTAGTTGGCATTTTGTTATCGCTTTATTTTTGAATTTATTAATTAAAGTCTTCAAATTGTAAATTGTAATCAAATTGTAAATTTGTATATTTACCCAGCATTTACACGTACAAGTTACTTGCAAGAAAGTTGCAATACATACAAAAATTTTACTAACACATTGAAATATTTCTACTTGCTTGTTTACTTGCAGTTCAACTTGCAAGAAAATTTTGCTGCCAGTAATTTGAGCAAGTAATTTGACATATTGAGAAATTCACAAAAAAAAATTTGTTGTTTTGATTTTTTTTTTTTAATTTAAAATTTTTGAATTTTGTTTTGAGAAAATTAAACTTAGCAAACTTATGCTAGTTGTTTTCTTCTCAAAGACATTTTCAAAAATTAACTTGCTAAACGCCTACGTCATAATAGCAAGTAATTGGACATTTCGAAAAACTAATTGACAATTAATATTATACAAACTTGCTTGCAAGTAACTTGTATGTGTAAATGCTGGGTTAGATTTTTTTCCATAATTCTGATAAAGTGTAATCAGTCATTAAAATAATGTAAATGTCAACAGTAGTAGATATTTGTTTGTTTTAATATCTTCACATTATAAAAAATCAGCCGTGGTTGACAAATATGAGCTAGTTCTGTCAGCCGTCCTTAATATCAATCTTACTTGACATTTATTTGACTACGAAAACGTCAATCCTTTTATTTACATTCTAAAATTAATGTCAAAACACAACACATAATTTGAATTTAAAAAAAATTATTTAGGGATTTGTCGGTAAAACTAGAAACAATATTATAAAATTTTATACAGTCTGTTGTGATTGTTATTTATACAGTCTGCTAATCAATATAAAATAACAGAACAGTATGTGTATACAGCGGTACTGCAAATTAAAATATTTTCGTTAAAAATTTCGCATAGTAAAAACATATTACCTACAAGAGGTACAAGAACTTTCTATTCAATTTATCCAAAATATTAAGAAAAACAATTATTTAAGACAAACTTTTAAAGTTGACAATATTACAAAGAAAAAAATTTAAAAGGCAACCAAAAAATTAAAAATATGTCTGATTCAAGGAAAAAGAAATTTTGGACGCAGTCATCGTTCAACCTCGATTTGGAAAAAAACAAAAATAATATTTCAACAAAAGATATACGAAAAAATAACATAAAAGTAAAGGATCTAAATAAAAATGAAAAAAATTGTAAAAAAAGTAACGAAGATTGGATGAAAAAATTTGAACCCCAAAAAACTGAAGATTTGGCAGTTCATTGTAAAAAGATAGATGAAGTTAAAGATTTTTTCAGACTTTGTGACAATATGAAAAAGAGGAAATGCAACAGAATTGCTTTTTTGACTGGTCCCCCAGGAGCAGGTAAAACTGCAACATTGAAGGTTATAGCCAAAAATTTAAATTACGAAATTTCGGAATGGGTAACACCAGTTGACATTGAGAACGAAATGTTTAATGCCGAAAAATTTAATTCATGTAGGGAAAATCAGTTGATGTTGTTTAAGCATTTTATCTTTCAATCATCTCGATATGGAGCTTTATTTTCAGATTTCCATAAAAAGCTTCTATTGATTGAAGATTTCCCAAACTGTATTATAAGACATCCCGAAGAACTTGATGAAATTTTGGAGAGATATAAAGTATATGGATGTTTTCCGATAGTATTTATTGCTACAGATTCAAAAATTCGAGATTTGAACATCAGTTCGAATGTCTTCGATCCCATCAAAGATAAATATAATATAACCCACATAAGTTTCAATCCAGTCGCCCCAACGTTCATTAAAAAGGCTTTAAAAAGAATTCATTCTATGATTTTGAAAGAACCATATAACGAAATGTATAAAGTTCCTACTCAGAATAATTTAAATTCAATATGCCTATCTGCAAACGGTGATATAAGAAATGCCATTGCTAATTTACATTTTGCAATTTTAAGAGGTGTTGGAGACTTTCAGAAAATGAATAAAACTATTGTAGAAAAGGACACGCAAAAATTAATAGGCCGTAATGAAACAATTACGTTAATGCATGCTTTAGGACGTGTTTTTCACCCGAAATATGAAGATAGTAAAAAAGATAAATTTTTGCATTCTCCAGAGGAATTAACCACACAGTTTTTAACAGAGGAGAAAAACTTCGTGAATTTTATTTATGCTAATTATCTCGCCTATTTCACCAGTATTGAAAACGTATTAGAAGCTATAAACAGTTTAAGTTTGAGTGATATTTTGTTAACTGAGTATCAAACAATTAATTCAAGTATAATAGGCTTAAATTTAGCTATTAGAGGTGTTATGGTATCAAATGCAAACACAAGAGTAGGGAAAATTCTAATAAAAGCTCCTTATAAACAAGAAAACCGTTTTCATCCCAAATACAATTTGCAAAATCTAACACACTCTAATATATCAAAGAAAATTGTTGCTACTGATATGAAAACTTATATTAATATTATTAAACGCTCATAGTTGTTAGATGCAGATGTAAAAACACAAAAAAAAACAAAAAAATTCTTTTGAAATTTTTATTTGTTTTTGCCTTTTTTTTTCTATTGCAGGTCCTTTTGATTTTTCTTTTAACCATCAAACCGACCAGATTCGCGCTTATACTAATATTGGAGTAAGTTTTAAGAATAACATATACTGATAAATATATTTTTTCCGGGAATTCTAATAAAGTTTTGTTTGAATGCATTAAAATATTTATATACATATGTATATTTTTTTTGGAACAACATTTTATATATTTTAAAGTTCTTAAGTTACTATACAATAAAGGGTTACATATGTATTTTAATATATTTACGGTTATTCATTATTTAGTTGGGATTTTAAATCAGCCAAAACTTCTTTAAGATTGTGGAACATGTTTTGCAGACCGCTTTCTCTCTCTAATTGTCTTTGAACGTCCTCTTTTAATGATTCAACGCGTTTGGGCATTGCTTCACTTTCTTGTTTTTCCAAAAACTCAAAAGTAGATCTAGCCAAAAAGTTTTGTTCTGTTTGCTCATGTATAACTTGTAAGTTTTTTGCAAGGGCCAAAGCTCTAGCTTGATATCCTCCTATTAGAATTTTAATTTTCTTCTCGAGTTTACTGCAACGTTTAGCTTCGGTTGACATATGCTTTCGATTAACTTCCAAACGTCTTTCAGCAGACTCTAAACGATCTTTCTTGCTAGCTAAATTTGCGCGTGTATACCGATTTTGGCTTGGAAGGTATAAGACTTGGCTCAAACATTCCTTCCAAACTTGAGAATAACTTTCAGTCGACAAATCTCCATGAGACATTCCCTGCTTTACAAATAACATTTCTTCGCACAATGTATTATTTGAAGCTTCCAATTCTGCTTGACTGAAATTTTCATAAAGCTTTACATCAAAAATTTTTTCTAGTTGTTCCGTTATTCGTGGGTTTGAATTTTGAATATAATCATGCAAGAGAATCTTTATCATCTCATATTTTATCTCTTCTTCGGCTTTTTGCAGGTTATTTAAGTTGTGTTTTTCATTAGGTGGCCTTAAAATTTTTGTATTTATTTCCACTGGAAAATTGTATGCATAGTTTGCCGTTTGTAACACTTTTGATGTATCTGTAATATTTGTGTTTTTTGCAACCGCTTTCGAGGAAATGTCTACTTCATGTTGATCTTGGGGTTGCACTTGCTCTTCTGATTCATTTCCTGCCTCGATGACTTGATCAGGAACAACGATTTCATAATCATTTTTTGGTAAAGGAAGGCCGCTTAATTTTTCTTTTAATAATTGAGAACGTTTCTTTGAATTCTTAAAAATTACACCATCTTGTAAGTCATTAGTATTACGGTCTACGTTTATATTTAAATTATCCCGCATCGTCGGTTTAATAGGAGTTTTGGGCTCAGTTGAGAGAGTGTTTGGAGTTGCAAATTCGTGTTGCTTGGAAACGGAGCGATATGAAGATGTTCCGTTTGTTTTAAGATGTTGGGATGGTGTTTTCAAATTGGATGAAGTATCACCATTTCTTTCTTTTGTGGCATTTTCAGTTTTAGAAGAATCCACTTGAGAATTTAAATTATAGCCTGTTAAAAATATATCTGTGGTTTCAATTCCAGTTTCTGAAACAATTTCTTGAGCAATTTCGGTTGATCTACCTAACTTTACAACTTGTTGCATTTCCTTGTCTGAAACTTGCGGTTCTGGTAAAACTAATTTTGATCTTTTCTTGTTATCAGTATCAGTATTCAGACGTAACGCAGAAATATGTACGCTCTCAGCCCTTTTCAATTTTAATTTGTCTTTTTTCCTCTCTTGTTCTTCTTTTTCAATTCGTAGTTCGCCATCTAAATCTTGTTGACGAATTTTTTTGAAATCATGTGTCACAGTTTCCATGTTTTCTTCAGTTGTGTCATAAAAACCCAAAGCAGCTTCTTTTCGAAAGGGAATTTCTGCGTTATAGTCTATACCTTTTAACCTTTTACGATTACTACATCCAATGCCAGCTGCTCTTAGTTCTCTACGTTTCTGTAATGCAGCTAGTCTTCTTGCTTCTTCTAATTGTTTCTCTCTGGCTTTTCTTTTGGCTTTTTTTCCTTGGGTGTTAGCTAATCGAGCTCTGGCTTCCGACAACATCTCTAGTTCATCTTCATCCATATCTTTAGGATCCGGTCTAGCAGGCTTCGTTTCCGGATTAGGATCTATTTCTCCTTGCTTTAATTTTCTGGGATCATCACAAACCTCATCACCATCTTTTTTCTGAGCTTGGTCTAATAAAAATTCATATCTTTCCAAGCATTGCGCAGCTGTTCGTCCTATTATTGGAGCAACTGTTCTCCATTGTGTCGGCATTAACTTAGCTAAATGAAGTAGTTTCTCATCTTCTTCTCTGGACCACTCAGTTTTTTTTATACTTGGATCAAGCCACTCATACCACCTTGCTTTGCACTGCTTGGCAGATTTTCTGTGAAGAAGAGAAGCAATACGTGACCATTGATTTTTGCCATATTTCATTACAGCTGCTTTCAATATCTCATCTTCTGTATTCCTCCACACTCCTCCTTTAATCATTATACGCGGCATTTTTTCAAAAAATTCTTAAAAATTATTATGGAACACACTACAGCAACTTTAAAGTTTTTAGTTACAATTTATATTCTAGATAGGGTTGCCTTATATATATCGATAATCGATATATCGAAAGTCAACATGTATCGAGGACATTTTTCGAAAGAACAGTAATGTTATTGCGACGTTTTTTTAGTAGAAAAGAAACTTGAAAAAATTTTTAAAAAAATTTAATTCCATGATAATTTTTAATAAATTGAAATTATATTTTAAAATACAAAAATGACATGAATACAAAATACAAAAATATTTTTTTAAATTTTTAAGTGAATTAAATGCCAAACAGAACAAGATTACTGTCAAAAGAAAACAGCTTATGTAGTGAGAATCCAATTTTCTATAATATGTTAATCTCATACATAGTGTTACGGAACATCTCATACATGTTATGGTTTTTTAGGCTGTTATGGGGTATAAGTTACAATTTCACTTATCTTTAAAAATTTTTGTGAACCAGAAAAATACACACATCTATTGTGAATGTTTCTTGAAATTTGAAGTTTTTAATGTCAAACAAAATAGTCGGTGATTCTGCAATTTCAACTTGTTAGTTTTATAGAAATTAAGAAAGAAAATTTTATTTAAAATAAAATGTCTGCAAGATATGATCGTGCTGTTACAATATTTTCTCCTGATGGTCACTTACTTCAAGTAGAGTATGCTCAAGAAGCTGTGCGTAAAGGTTCAACTGCGGTATGTACATATTTACAAAAATGCTAATGCCAAATTTAAGCAATATTGGCTTAACCTAAGCTTTTGTATACAATTAAGTTAAAAAAAAATTAAACAGCCTTATAAATAAGAGTTTTAAAAACTTTTTTGCTATTTAGGTTGGAGTTCGTGGGGAAGATGTTGTAGTTTTGGGTGTAGAAAAAAAATCAGTAGCAAAATTGCAGGAAGAACGGACAGTAAGAAAAATTTGTCCTTTAGATAGTCACGTTGTGATGGCGTTTGCTGGTCTTACGGCGGATGCTAGAATACTTATTAACAGGGCTCAAGTAGAGTGTCAGAGTCATAAATTAAGTGTAGAAGATCCAGTTACATTGGAGTATATAACAAGGTAAGTTGAATAATTGACGTTTTATTACATTCCAAATTACAATTTAAAATTTACAAATGTAGATATATAGCTGGTTTAAAACAAAAATATACACAAAGCAACGGAAGACGTCCTTTCGGTATTTCTTGTTTGATTGGTGGTTTTGATTATGATGGGTCACCTCATCTCTATCAGACCGAACCATCTGGAATTTATTATGAATGGAAGGCAAATGCCACCGGACGCTCTGCAAAAACCGTACGTGAGTTTTTGGAGAAATTTTACAAAGAAGATGAAGTAAAGACAGAAGAAGGTGCAGTTAAACTTGCTATTAGAGCTTTGTTGGAAGTAGCGCAATCAGGTCAGAAAAATTTGGAAATTGCCGTGATGAAAAGAAACCAACCATTAAAAATGCTAGATTCAGATACAATTGAAAAGTATGTTAATATTATTGAAAAGGAGAAAGAAGAGGAAGCGGAAAAAAAGAAACAGAAAAAGTAGTTTCTAATAAATTTAAATATGCAAAATTCGCATTTTTATATATTATATATTAAAAAGAATAAAAATCAACGATGAAAAAAAAAAAAAAAAACTTTACAATCAAAGCTCAAAGTACAAAAATGAAATTTTTACAATTTCAAATTTATTCCAGTTTAATTTTTTTTCATTAATCAATTTATTAATTAGGAAAATTATTCTTCCAATAATATGCTCATGCTATTAGAGTATTGATTAAAAAATGATTTAAAACTATATTCGTCAGCATCGTTTTCGTTTTTAATTAAAGTATTTTCTTTATCTTGATTGTTATCTCCATCGGCTTCATTGAAATTGCCTGAAATATTTTTTAAACTACTATTAAGGTTGACCTCACCCAAACTACTTTCATTTTTATTAAATTTTAAATAATCTTCCATGAAAATTTCATCTTCATTGCCATTGGTAATTTTGGAATCTTGATTATCAATTGGTTCTAATGGCGCTGCTTTTATTAAATTCTCTGGTAAAATCTTAGACCGGATTGATTTAGAACAATCAGAAGCACCAAAATTCGTTATCTCCGCAATATTTAAATTGGTATCGTTAAAAACTTTTTCTTCGCTAATTTGAGTACTGAAATATAGCATTTAAAGTTTCTTAAAATTTAACCCATGCATGTTAATGTTCTTGAAATTAAATTATTAATTTAAAGAATTAAAAAAAAACAATTCCTAGCATTGTAACATAATTGCAACTGAAGTGCAACTATGCTTTAAGGCGATTAAATTACTTAAAATATAATTCTGGTTACGCAATAATCTTACCACTCATTTTCGGAAAGATTAAATTCGGTTTTATCCATTATATTGGTTGCACTATCGTCGTTTGTTTGTAAATATATGGGCAGGTAAGTTCCAAATATGTTTTGCAAATCTTTAAATTCTATTGATTCGCCGTAAAATCCGGCATATTCTATTTTCTCCTCAAATCCCGAAACACTATCAGAGGAACTTTTGAATAGGTGTGCTGGAATGGTTATAATCGGGGAATTTGTACTATTTAATAATATATTTGAACATAATATCTTTTGCAATGTTAACGTTAGCCCAATCCTTTTTCTTGTATAAGTTTTCATTTTGTCTATAATTCGATGTGCCGGATCTGTTTGATGATACGGTTTAAAGTAAATTCTTTTGGTAGTTTCATTTTTTAGAGGCTTTTTCATAGCTTGATTATTTAACGGGTTCAAAAAGTTTTTTAACAATTCGAATTTCCCTTTTTGGAAATTTGTATTTGTATAGAAATAAAATTCTGAGCTTCCTTCAACTTTATCAGGATTTTCCAAAAATTCATCTTGTAATTTCACGAAACCAAATTTTTCTAGCATTTCGCAAAAGTCTAAAATATTCTTACTAGAAAAAATATTTTTCAACACATCTTCAAGATACAGAATCAGTTCTTTAACAACTATGCTTATATTATGTCCAGTTGCATCCCATTTGATGCAATTATTTTTGCTGTTTATAACAATCCACAATTTATAAATAAACGGAACGGTACTTGAAAAATTGTCTTCAATTTTATGGGGTTTTGAAATATCCATTTAAAATCAATTTATTTTTTTTATTATAGAATTTATGTATAATTTATTTTTTTATTTGGTTAAATAATTTATTTGTACAATTTTTTTTCTTAATTTATTGAGAATTTACTATTCCTTCAACCTTACGCATCGAAATTAAAACTAAAAGTAATAAAATTAATAAGACAAAATCTCGAAGATTTTTAGAGCGCCAATTAAATTAACGTCAATATTGAATTTTTAAATGAAAATTCCAAAATGGCGAGTAGCGACATCTATTGATTTCTCACCATTAAGATTGATTTACAAATTACAAATGACCTATAATTTTCAAAGATATTTATGAATATTATTTATTTCTATTAGCGGCAATACTTGTGGTTACGAGTACGAGCCTCGAACATGTTCTTGTTAAAAGTCAGAGTGTGAAGTTTTCAATTTTCATTTTTGGCACTCCAAAATAAAAATAAAAAAATGTTTATTTTAATTAAGTAATATTTTCTGTTCGATATAAAATTCATTTGATTTATTTGCAATTAAAAAAGGAGGAATTTGGGAAGAGATTGAAAAACAGAAATTTTAATAAAATATAATGAAAAATTTACGAAACTAAATCTTAAAAATATTTTTGTGCCAAAGCGAATTCTTGTACATATTTTACCAAGACAGTTTTATTCTTAAATTATTCATTTTTTTTTTTAATTTGTATGTTGGAAATTAATTTTATTACGCCTATGTAAAAATGAATTCTGTATATCAATTTATTAAAGAAAATCATATGCTAGCCGTTATTGAATTGGCACAAAATCGTAAAGCTTTTACGTTAAATCTTTCTAGGTAAGTAGGTATGCGAGTTTTAATGAATATTTTTTTTTTTGAATGGTCGAATGTGAATTATGATGTAAGCGAACAACACAATACATGTATAGAATGTTTACAAAATATTTGTCGTATTTAAAACAATGTTAAAAACTCATAATTTACAAAATTTAATTATATTTTTTAAAAATTTAAGATAAAATTTTTCCGCTTTTTTATAAGCATTTATGTTGGCTTCAAAATTTTCTAGCCTTCTAGCGCTTTATTTTTGCTGATTAAATTTTAGAACAAATCTCCAAAGTATTTCAATTACAATTAGTCGAAAAAAAAATGCCTTTCAATTATGTGTTAGTATTTCGTTTTTAGAATTTCTATTGCAGTTTAAGTAGCAGTAACAAAAGGCAAACATTTTGTAGAACCATAAATACACTTGAAAATTAAGCTCTTAAAAATGCCTTCGGCATCAATTGAAAGATCTAGGCTCACATCTATTTAAAACTTATCTGACCAACAAAAGTTGCATTAATTTCGTATTAATTTTACAAGATATTCACTATCGTTGGTAATTAAAGTAATTTGCCACAAAGATCTAATTATAAAAATATCTCATTTTTAACAATTTTCGTATTTTCAGGTTTGAAATTAAAGAAATCCCAGATTTGGTAACGACTTGCAATACATTAATGAAACTATATTTAGATCACAATGAAATAATTAAGTTACCCGACAACATAATTAATTTAACACGTCTTCATACACTAACTTTAGACTATAATTGTCTTAAAGAATTTCCGTTGGTTGTATGTGAACTGACCGGATTGAAGTATTTGAACTTAAGTTGTAACGAAATTAATACATTACCACCACAAATTGGACATTTAACATCATTGCAAGTATTTTGGTGTAATAATACAAATTTACAGCATATACCAGAAGAAATTGGTAATTGTGAACTAATAGAAACTTTCGGAGCTCGGGGTAATGAAATCAAAAAATTACCGGAAAGTATTGGTTTATTAAAAAAACTAAGTTGGCTAACATTGGAAAACAATCAAATCGACAGTCTTCCTGAAGCGTTTGTTGCTCTTAATAAATTAGCTCACTTAAATTTAAAAAGAAATCAACTAAAAGAAATCCCAAAACAGATTTCTGAATTGAAGAAATTGCAATACTGCTTTTTAAATTGCAATCAAATTAATAATGTTGACATAGATTCATTGGATAAATATAATTTAATAAAACTAATTGACTTGGAAGACAATCCCATTGATGCCACTGTCAAAGATTTGGCTTTGTTGGTAAATTATAACATATACATATGTATGCACACTTTAAATGATGAATATTTTTAATTTGTTTTTTCTTGTCCTGATAGAAATGCAAAAATATAAGTTTTGAAAATAAAGATTCTAATCAAACTTCTACAACACAAAATGACGACTCAGATGATGAAGATGTGTCAGATTGGGAAAACTCTATAGATACTAGTGATATTGATACCAATGAAGAAACTGGAGATGAGCATGATCCTGAAGTAAAAATATTAAATCAATTTATTGTATAAATTTGTGCATAATCTTCATAATCTTTTTTTTTGTAGGACATATCAATGTTCATTCCAGCTTTGGCGAAGTATATAACGACGTTTAATTGAAAATGATGCAAGCTTTTAAAAATTATTCTCTTACTGTATAATGTTGCGTTTTTTTTTTTGAAATACTTATTTTGTGGATTTCAAATTAAAAGTGATAAAAAATAAATCTTTTTATTTTCTATATTTCTGTTCTGTTTCATATGTATCATATTGTAATTATATTGTGTATTATGTTATTAAACAATACGGGGAATAAAAAAAATATAAATTTTTGAACAAAAGAATTATATTTTGGGTAATATTTAGCTAAAGCAATTGAAGTTTAAAATATAGGTGATACTTAAAAAAAATTTAAGATATTGGAGAGAAAAGGAGAAACTTTTATGTTACTTAAACGATATTTTATAGAAACTTGAGTAAAACCAAAAGAATAAAATAAAATTTTAATCAATTCTGAGTTCTTTGTCAACAATTGCCATTATTTTTCAGACTCGATTGGCTGAGTGATTGACTAATGTTGAGTTATTTATTAAAAATAAATTTTATTTTGAAAGTACCTAGGTATTATTTTATTTTGAATGAATTTTCAAATGGTTTGTCACTTTTTTCTCCTGAAAATAAAAATAGATTAAGTTAAATCGAAAATTCCCAAAAATACCCAAAATAAGCTACATTTTACCTTCAATTTGTTTTAACTCTATGCACTCGCATATCTATTTTAATATTTGTTTTAATGTTATATATATTTTAATGTAATAAATAATATGTGAAGTCCCATAAATATAGCTATTGATGATTGTACCAAAAAACATATCAGTCTTATCGGCTGTCTAACAGGATATATCGCGTACACAAATGTATGAAGAATCTTGAAATATTTAATTTGCATTAATTGAAAAATCAAACAAGTAAGTAACTCAATTATTACATACTCTTGAAATAGTTGCTATTCTAAAAAGAATCGTCGCCAAAGTTGGATTTGGATCTATCGTTATGTACAAAAGGCCAATTGTAAAGTAAGGTAATATGTTTTCTAAGTCATTTCGATGAGCTCTGAAATACAAAATAAAAAATTGATGACAGATGAGGTTTTTAGAGCTCTGATTTATTGAAAAAAAAAAACACTTTGCTTACCTTCTGACACGTTCAACATCTGGGTTATTGAAAACTACTTCAACTTTCATGATTTCGGCATCTTCAGGATTGGCAAAAATCTATTTAAAATAAAAGGTAAAGTTTATAGTTTTCAATGGAATTTTTGGTTTATTTGAATCTTTGCGTCAGCTAGAAAGGTGCATTCAAAAAAATGGCTAAAAAATGATACATCACCTCGTTTTAAATTTTTTTTTTCAAACCGAAACACGGATTTCTAAAAAATTAGAAATTTAAACTTTTTTTTTTATTTCATCATTGTGCTTTAACCTCGACCAAGAAATAGTAACCGACAAAAAAGTAATACTAAAGTGTTTTAATATTAAAAAATTTTCAAATGAGTTTTTATGAATCTGATGACCCAAATATTTCAAACTTTTTTACTAAATAACTTTTTTTACTTAATTTAAACACATAATATAAAGAACGATTTACAGCATTGCTTTATGAGTGTGTTGATCGGTATTGCTTTTTGTAATTAATTTATAATAAATTTATACATGATAATTAACTTAGATACTAACTTTGCGTACTATATTCTAAATTATTGAATTAAAATATAATAAAATTATTGAATTAAAATATATATGTATGTATTGTATGGAGTCTATTAAAATTAAAAAAGAAGCTCAGAAAAGTTCATTTTAATACTGTTAGTTAGTTACATGAATTGTATATTAGAATATCGAAATTTATTATTTTTTGTTTACCTTTTGACGAAAGCGATGAAAAGCGGTTAATCCAGACATAAAATACATTTTTAAAGCTAAAATACCTGTCCAAAATAGGTAATTACAAAATACAGGATTGTCCAAATTGAGAAGAGTTATTTTTAGTGGTGTATGGTCCATAATAATTTTTTTTTTTATATTTAAAAGCAAACAAATTTAAAACAATTTCAATATTTTTTGAATATTAAGTTTACGTTACTAAAGTTAATTTGATACTGACCTAGAGAACTCGAAAATTTAATTTTTAACCAGTTCAAATGAAATTTGTTTTTGTGCTCTGAATGAACCGAAAAATAAAAGAGAGAGGATTAATATTTGGAATGTTTGCAAATAAAGTTTTCAAACAAAAACTCATTCATAAGCATGCTGTCGTACCATCTTTACTGTTGATCATGATGTTTTAAGATTGTACATGGGATTTTTTTAGTTTTATTTATTATTTTTTCATCATTTAATGTTGCATAACATAATTGAATCTATTATAATGTATAACAGGTTTTTCACTCCTAAGATTTGTACTTTCGTGTATAGTATATAAATAAAAAATTAATCCAATAACAATAATTTTTATTTAGTGTGCATATGATATTATCTTAAATGACAAAAAATTTAAATATAAATAGCTGTTACTACAATTATATGTAGACACATATAAATTGTAATCCAAAAATGTATGAAAAAGCAAATACCCCTCGCTGGTTGTCTTATTGGATAAATAGTATAAACAATAGTATGAAGAATCTGAAAAAAAATATTAAAGCAATTTTAGGTTTTCTTGTATAAAAACACAAATTTTAGGTTTTCTTGTAGAAAAACACAATAGAATGAGTGTATTTGAAAAACACTTACTCTTGCTAAAGTTGCAATTCTATACAATATTGTGGCCAAAATAAATGGAGGATTTACACACACATATAGCAATCCAATTGTAAAGTAAGGTAGAATATTTTCCATATCATTTCGATGTGCTCTGTTTTCATTGAAATAATAACGATAATATGTACGTATGATTTGAAAAACAAAATGAAAAATAATTGTTAATTGTTATAAAAATAAAAAAAAATTGTAAAATAGAATTTATTTTTGACAACCTTCGAACACGTTCAACGTTAGGATCATGAAATTGTGTTGTATCTGTTTTATTCATTTGAGCATCTTCTTCATTAGCATACACCTGTTTACCATTAATTAAAAAAATAAAGGTATTATAAATGTAATATTTATACAAGTATTAAAATTTAATATTTTTGCCAAAAGTTTCTAAAAATTTTTGTTTTTGGCAAAGAAAACACATTCCTCCCTGGTTCTTTCATAACTATATTTAGAATTTTGTTTAATTTATATACCGAAGGATATTCTTTGCGTGAAATCCTTTTATAAAAATGTAAACGCAAATGACTCATTGTATAATTTATGTATGTTATGTGTACAAGAATTATAAAGCAGAAGTGGTTATTTGCAAATGCTGATTTCAATTACTTTGATTTGACAAATTTAATTATTAGTAAATTTTATAAATAATTAAATGTTAGGCAATAAATTGTTTAATTGTATACAATGAAATTATATTAATGGTATTAAAACGTATCTTAAAATTACCTTATGTTTTGATCGTTGTATTGCTGTAAGAATAGCCATTAAAAGCATTTTCAATGCTAATATTGCTGTCCAAAACATAAAATTACCAAAAACAGGATTCGAGAGTGTCAATAAACTCAAGTCAAAGGGAATACTTTCATTTGTGCCATTACTATTATTTGAAGATAAATTTGAATTTATAGTTTCTAGAACTTTAGTGATATTTGTTGTATTAGTTTTATTCATGATTATCTAAGAGAGTTATAGTGATGAAAACTTAAATCCTTTAAATTCAACTCAAAAGTTATTGAATTTTTTATATGTCTTCTTGTACAATTTAAATATAAGAATTTCTTCCGATAATTTTTATATACGGTTTCGATTAATAAATTACTTTTTTATTACTAAAGCTGACCATAATGTGCAAAACTTTATTTTCTTCATTTAAATGACCTTCACTTTTCTTAAAGGAATATACAAGCATATTATTATAGTTATTATACCAATGACCCTGTAAATTTATAATTAAGAAGGGAGAAAAATAAGAAACCCTTATTGTTTTCCTTTTCTTTTGTCTAGAAAATGTCCTTTAATCGTTGTTCTGATTTACTTTAGGAAAATTGTTTAAAAATATTTTCATTTTTGAATTTGATTTTTTATTAAAGGAAGACTTTTTATTGTTTCATTTATTTTAGTATGTATTACTTTATAGTACATATATGAATTGCACAAATTAGTTGGAGAAAAACTATATAGATTCTCAAAATTTTTCACAAATATTTCAATAAAAGGCAAATGTCTTACTCTAAAGTCGTAGATTGCATTTCGAGCTTTCGACCTGCTTTCTTAACTTTGAAAAATTTAATTGTAGAATTGTATTTAATATTATCATGAAAGGTAACATTTTGTTTGACTTAGCAAATTAATTTGTGTTCAATTATTCTTGGTACGTTATGAATAGATATAGAGTTCTGCAATGCCAATTCAATCCAAAATATAATATTTACATAGCTATACAAAATTGTGTAATTAAAAAAATATTTTTTTACTTGTTGAATATTTTGTGAAGCATATATACGCGTACATATTCATTTTAATATTAAATTCAAATTACAAGAAAAAAAAAAATTACTAAAAATAGAAATTATAATATTTGAATGTTATTTTTTCTTTGTCATAAAATTCAACACTTAAAAAAAAACTCACCATACACCATTATAATATAATTTTTGGGTATTTCATATTCAAATGTTTCCAACGTAGAAGAGTGACTGTTTCGATTCAACAGATTACTAAAAATTTTTTGTTACCTCTATATAATATGGAGTATACATAAATATAACACACATAAATAGCTGCGAAAGAAATTTCTTCGAATTTTAACAATCATTTTTTTCTAATATTTTCAGTATTCATTGACTTTGTGGAGTTTTTAAGCAATATTTTTCTCTGTGAAATGCAAATCGGTACACAAAAACATTGTTCGCCCAAATATAGGCAATATTTATTATATCTGAAATTCAAAATATTATTGTAACTTCTTTAATTTTTCTAGTAGTTAGCTAGCCATTTTGGATTAGAAATAATTTTTTTAGATTATTGATTTTTTTTTTCTATTTTTGATTAACATTTATAAATTATACCAAAAAAAAAAATTTGAGATTTATTTTAATAAGATAATCGTAATGGCCATCACGCAATTGTTCTTTATGTAGATTTTTAGTTTTATTTACTTCATTCCTTTCAAAATGAGCTAATGCTCGTACGTTTGATTAAAATCTATATAACAGGTAATGGTTTTCCCACATTACAACTGTATTAAACAGTAAGAGTAGAATGAAGAATTGTATTTTCCATTGAAAATATTCAACAGTCCATATTATGAATTATTTTACAATATAAGTAAGATAAAATAGATTTGGGGATACGTTTATAATTTGTAAATTTGTAGAAACAAATCATAAATGAGAACAATTTTTAAGTATTTATTATAAATTGTTTACAAAGCACTAAATAGTTCCTGGAAATCTTGAATATTCGCTGTTCTTTAATTAATGGTAACAATTGATGGCACTCGTTCTTCAATTTATATTCTTTTTCATGAAAAACCAAGAGTTGGCATTATCTAACTATATAAAGTGCTACTAGAAATTGAGTGAAATTATATCACCTTTGGTTTGATTTGAGTAAAGTAACAATTAAAATGAAGTGTTATAACTGACAAACAATGCGATTGATTTATTGTTGAATTTTTATTGGAATTAAGAGTTTATTATTGTGAATTTTCAACATGTTAGTCAAGTTACTCGAAAATTCCTTCGCAGTATTTATGGTAGCGTTTAATCTATTTTAATTTGTGATACTTTCCATAATTAAAAAGTGTTTTATTTGATCAGTTATGCGATATGGAAGAACTTATTTTGATTGGACAATTATTGACCATAAGATAATCGAATAAATTTAATTTTGTTTGCTAGATACTCCAATATGCAATTATTAAATTTAGTTCTATTAGAAAAACTAATATTTGTATTCATATAAAATTTATAACACTATTATTTTGAATTATTATTACTTATATCCAATATAGAGTTCTCCCAATATAACATTAATTATCTAAGTTTTCTAAAGAAATACACCTATCTTAAGCGTTTATATTTCAATCTTTTCCGATTTTCCAGTTACAATTATTTTGAAATTAATTTCTTATCTGAATATCAATTACATTACATTAAACTTTTATACAATAAGCAAAATAATTTGTTAATAATTACAAACAGATTTTTGGGATTAATATTGTTGTTAGTTTAACATAGGAATTGAGTTAATAAAGTTTTAGTTCGAGTAAAACCATATTGGAAGAAAATATTCACAGGATCAACATATTTTTTTTTGAACATAATTCAAGATGAATAATACAATTTTAAATACAGCCGAAGGAGTTATCAATAATATTACGGCCTCATTTAATCGGCCACTCAATAAACAATTTTTAACTTTAGAGAATCCAGTTTTCGGAGTTTTTATGTTTTGGACAGGCTTATTAGCTTTAAAAATGTTATTTATGTCATTGTTACCTTCCATTCAAAAATTGATTTTTAAGGTATTGAATTTTTTTTTTAAATAATTTTATAATTGAAAAGAATAAATAAATTAATTAAGTTTTATGCGCTATGCTATTGGTTGATGTCGACCTTTTGAATTAATGTGTATGGAAGAATGTGTATTTAATGATTGATCCTTTTATAAAAGGCTCAATTCTTCATTCAAGAATTTGAAAATTCATTGATTTCTTAATTGTTTGGATTCCCAATTTATAGTTCAGTTCTGATTTTCAATTTTTTTAACATCTAGTAACCTAAATTTCCAACGGGTTTGTATCTACAATAAAATATCGGTACTGAACAATAGAAATATTAATTGTTACTATAAAAATGTGATAAAACTTTTCAAGATTTTGATTGTAATACGACCGAATAAACGCGAATGATGGCGTTTGCTTTTGTTTTTCATATATGACTTCATCCAGGTTGAGAAACAAGAGTCTGCATTTCCTTTTTTCTATTAAAGAGGATCTTTATTTAAAAATTAAATATATAAATATATAGAATAAATATAAACAAATTGTAATTATTGCAGGGTGATAGTGAGAAACTGGAGAAAAAAATTGAAATAAGTCGAAGGTTTGTCAAATAATCTTTTTTTTAAGTTGATTTAAATTCTATTAGTTTTATATTCTTATTTTTTTTTATTTTAAGTGCACACCGGAATGATATGGAAAATATTTTACCATATTTTACAATTGGATTACTATACGTTTGTGTAAATCCTCCACCATTATTGGCAACAATTTTATTTAGATTTGCAACTATTTTTAGGGTACGTACTTCTATAAAAAAAAAGGCTAGCAAAATATGAATTTTAATTCAATTTTTTTTTTCCTATAAAATTAAAAAAATTATTTTTAATATTTCAGTATTGCCATACGTTCGTGTATGCTATTTACCCAATACCACAACCAGCGAGAGTAATTTGTTTTGGATTACATTACGCGATTATGGTTTATATGGTGATCCATATTTTGGTTATTTCAATTAACTATGTATAAAAAATTATAAAATAAAATGAAATAAAAAATTTAAGTAATGTTGCCATAATATAAAATGTTACCATATCTTTTGAATGTATTATAATAAAAATTTCTAATGTATACCATAAATTATTTTTGGGGTGGCTTATTTTATGCCATTAAAAACGTTTCTAGTATGTATGTCTATACCAAAAGTCGAGAATTTGTCTTGCCTCATTGAATTATACACATGTTTAGTTAAATGTAAAAATGTGGGTGTCAAATCTTAGATTTATAACTTTGTAATAATTATTCTCGTTTTGACTTATTTAGTTTGAAAATTTTTATTCTTACAAAATTTGAAAACTTTGTGACTTATCAATTGTTAAGCTTTATTTCAGTAACTCCTATATTTTTATTTCTTTCATAATGTTATTCATAAATGTATGTATGACATTTTGTACACAAAGATAATGTGACTTGCTTGAACACAAATGAAATTAATATATTTATAATCAAAAAAATTTTTGTCATTTTTGCCTTACAATTAAGTTTTTGTGAAAGTTTTTATTAAAAAGGTAGTTATATTCATTTTATATAAATATATATATTGAACCTATTATTAATTCAAAATGATATGTCTATATCGGTACACATACATGTACACACATGTAGTATGTAGATAAATATTACATTGTCATCAAAATGTTCTGAGGATTATAAAATATTAAATGCAGTAAAAAGCTCAATTAATTTATTACTAGAAAGAATATCAAATCTCTGTATGTTTGTTGTATGAGTAATATATCATTAATTTTCATATAATTTTTAATTAATTTTTACAAGAAATCAGTAATTTAGTCGACTAAAAATAGGACTTAATTGACTGCTTGTATAATTATAAATTTCTTTCCATACGCTGTTCGTGTGTACATACATACTCGTACATATGTATAATATATTGAAAGTGATAGAAATTTTTTCAAAATGTTGAAATATTTTATGAGTGGTGATTGCTTATTGGCAAGTAATATAGTTTGAATCAGCGTAGGAGGCCCTTTCACACGAAATGTAGTTTTAGTCAATTGCATTGCTTTTTGAAGCTACACCTGTGTATTTGTATATTTGTTCAATTTTGAACATAAGCTGCAAGTTCAATTATAATACCATAATGAGCCATAAAATAAATTGCGGTCCCTATACAGACTTTATGGTTTTAGAATATAAAATTCATAAATGTTAAAATAAAATCAATTCTCTATGTATTATATTTATTTCAATTCCAATATTGAGTCGTAATTTTTAAATTTCATTATTTGAATTATTTTATATAAGATTTATGACTTATTTTCTCTATCTTTGACAGTATTTTCTAATTTATTTGAATTTTTAATTTTTATATTATTATTTTGCAGATTTCATTCAAATGTCAGATTTTCATCATTCACTGAATAGTTAGACGAACATTGTGGCAATTTAATTATAATTATGGGATTTTTATTGTATGTAAGAACAATAGCTTAAAATGTAAACACTTTAGTATTTTCATCTGATGATCAGTTATATGTCTTTGTTACTGTACACATGTATATATACTTTCGTGCACAATATACAATATGAACTATAAATATTTATTATTATTATTTTTTTTATAAACTTGTTACATTCGCATAGAAAATTTAATTAATATAGAATATTTGACCGTTAGCGTAAAGTGTAAGTTCAATATCAAGGTTTATTTACATTTGATCTTGACATTCACAATATTATTAAAAAATAAACAATTAAAAAGTCTAATGACTTTTTATATATAAGCGATTTGTCATATTTAATGTTAAGAATTTTTTTTTTATAAAATGCGAATAAATTTTACACATTTTTTATTATTTTATAAAAATTTAATTAAATAAGTATGTACATACATACTATATATACGTACAAGCCGATGTAATTTAATTCTTGTAAATGAATGTCTTTATGTACATTTTACATGAGCAAATTGAACGTTAATTTAACGTTGTCATAAATTTTAATTATAGTTATATTGACTTAAAAGGTTAAAGAATTTGATTCTAGTTAGCTTCATAGCTAACTAATAATTTTTTAGAATGATTATAAATTATTATACAATTACAGGTACAAATGTAGAAGAATATTACTAGTGAGCAATTTTTCTTCGGAAATTTTAAATTTTAGATCGTATTTTTGTATACAAAGTTTAAGGAGAAAATAAAAAGTATTGCCTTTGACATTGGTCAATAAAATAAAATATGTTTAGCCGAAAAATGGTACTGCGTGCGAATCATTTAATGAAATTTTATAAAAATTTTATTTACTTGACACTTTTTATGATTATTTTGACAGTTTCTCTTATTTCAAAATGTCAGTTATTGCATTATTATTACAATATTCAGCAATTAAAACTTACAAACTGTTATTTAAGCCGGAGTTTATCTTCACGTTAATCTTCATGTTGGTTTCTTTTTGATTTCAGCTTCGAACTCATAAATTTTCAACATTGGCTTCATGTTGCCAATAATACTCGGTATATCTATAATTGGTATAAAAAATTATCATTAATTAAAAATCATCAAAAAACCGAGTTACTTTTTTTTTAGTTACCTACAAAAAATTACATAAGTCAATGCAAAATTATTGCATAACTCACAAAACAAATTGTTTTACCTATAGCAAATCTTTCAATATTCCAACACTGCAATATTGTTAATATCATCAGACCTAGTACAATATTGTGACGTCTTTTTATAGTCTTATGATACACTCATATATAATATAATGATAATGATTTATGCATAATTAAAACATATCCAGTATATTCGAGAAAAATTATCATTCAATTATTTTATGATATAAAATTATTCAATTTTTATGCAATATTATTATTGTTTATCAACTGAAATTATATCATTTTAATTGGCGGTATTTTACTGTTTATTTAATTACAATAAATTTCTAAATTTTTTTCCAAATTAAAGTATGTATACAGAAACTGGTCATTATTATCATTATGTAATTTATTGTTTTATTTTATTGCAACGTAATACGATGTAGTGCAATTTGTACTATGAATATGATTTAAAATTTTTAAAAAGTTTTAAAAGATATGTGGGGCCATAAAACAATTCAAAATCGAATATGTGTTATAACAAAGTATTATTTCATACGCGTACTTCTAAATATTAGCTCATGTCTGAAAGTCAAACATGTCCTAACTAAGAATCAAAACATAAAAAGTCGAACAGATTTCAGATTCAATTCTGCAATAGTATATTAGGTCTGTAAATTTTCCTAGAAATTTGAAATCAACTGGTCATCTTAATTTTTCAAGTAAAATAGCGTTATATATTATTTTTTGTTGTTCTTACGGAATAATTCTTTACAATTTTTCTTTACAATTTTTTAATTTAAAAATTGAATAAATAATTTATTCCATTTTCACAATTCATACATTCATATACATACATACTTACATTTTTTTGTAATTTTGATGTTAATGAACGACACTCTTCAATATATTGACTAAGAGAATTCTTTTACTTTCTTATTCAACTGTCATGTTAATTAATTTATTCTTTGTTGAAGAATAAAAAGAACAATAGAACTGGATGTAGATTTCAGTTTTAATTTTTTTTTATAAAGAAATTTAAGGAGATTTTCTAATTACTAATTACAGGAAAAAAATTGCAAATTCTCTCGCATTACATTTTATAATTTTGTAAAATCATTATTAAAAATTTTAATTCTAATGCATTTTTATTTCAAACTTGAAAAAAATAGTGTAAACATATCCTTTATTTCTGATGTATTCCATTTATTGTATAAAAGTTATTCCTATTTAAAAATATTGAGAAAAAAAAGAATTTAGGATTAAAAAAATTAATTATAATTTTCATGTAAATTAAAAAATTATCTGTCAAATGTATGGGAATTTTAGTCCAATTTATTTGTTTTATTGAAAATTAATTAAGAAAATTAATGTTTTAATGAAGTTTTGATTGATTGTCTAAAAGTATGTATTTTGCAATATTCAAACTTTACTATATTAAAAATGAGTTGAGAAAACTTTTTATAACACTTTTAATTTTAATAAGTCAAACGGGAATTATGTGAATATACCTAGCTGTCAATTAATTAACGTTTTGTGTGAACAAATAATTTATTAGGTAACAATTTATTTTTCAATTTCATGGCTTTAAATTGTTAGAATGTTTAAAAGAAATTTTCTAATGGCAAATTGAATGATTTAAAATTTTATTGTTATTAATGTTGTATTTAGTTTTTTATAATATGTAAACGCAGTTAATTAGATGGTCCATGTATAGAAAAATATTAGTCAAGTCAACCACTTAACTAGTAGAATTTGTTAAATTACGGCTGCTCTGAGAATGGTCAATGATTTGTTAAAAACATTCATTCATTTGTAATATACCGTATACTTCACGGGATGTATACATATGTACACCTACACTCATGCTATAATTTAAATGTTGCATGTTCAATTCTATGATTTTAGGTAACTATATTAATTGGAAAAAGTGTTTCATTTCATTAAATTGATTTTCTGTAGATGCAAGATTTTATTTTGTGGAAAAATACAGAATTTATTCATGATTAATTTTCAAACTTTTACAATTTTCACAGATTAATTATCACTTAATTAATATTAGGTATTATAGAAGAACTATTATAACATATGTATCTAATTTTATTATACATACACAAACCGTTGATAGGCGATTCCTGTATATTTAATTAATTTTTTTCTCTATGGGAAAATTAAATTTTATTGCATAATACAATACAACTTTTTTTTTACTAATTTAGCCATTGTTATAAAATACTCATTATTTTTTTTTATTTGACGGTTAGTTTGTCTTGTCAAAAAGGTATACAAAATATAATTTGTGACATCAATAAGTTCACATTGTTTTAATTTCAATAGACTTACTGCAAATGCTTAGAGAGATTTGTTTTATAATTTTAATTTTCAATAATTCGCCAAAATATTTTACCAAAATAGCATACGTGAAAATAGTACGGAAAACTTTGAGTTTAATTGATTAAAAATTTTATAAACGGGGTGGTCCAGAACTAATTTTTAAGCTATCATAGATTCAGGGGGGAAGGTATATCGCGTATCAAGGAGTATATTTGCGGAGAATTGAAGAAAATCGAATTAAAAAAACTCTATCTGAAAAATATTTATAACAGCTCCAATACCGTTGATGCTAGAGCAATGTGTTGTTTGCAGTTTTTTTTTCTTATTCAATGGTCCTATGTATACAAAAGTAATTTCCATGGTTAGAAAATTTTTCCAAATGTGTTAATTATCTCAGAAAAGGTAGCTTTTTATTTTCTTTTTCGGATCAGGCTATTTTCACATCAATTCTTAAGAATTAAGAATATTTTCTTAATGATATAAACCAGTCTACATAACAACCTACTTATTATACTAAAATATTTCACATTGTAATTTTTCCCTTATCATTCATATTATTAGCATGTACTACATATACGAGTATGTATGTAAGAATTTTTATAATTAAGTTTTCAAATATAAGTATGATGAAAAATTCTTTCTTTTTAATTAAATTTAAATATTAGCATATAAAATAATTTATTTCTTTTATACAAATATAGAACATTATAATATTAATATGGAATTTATGATGCAATTTGAATCGAGGATTACAAACTATTTAACTTATTTGTAATTTATTATAACAAACTACAAACGGTCTCATTTAATAATTAAAACAGAATTGCAAGTGTTATGATCTGAAATGAAAAAAAAAACAAGTAAAAACGTTTCAGTCGGTATAAACCGATTGAATTATACCCTGCACCTTTCGTTGTTGTATAGCAATTACTCGAACCTGTGAAATCAGTTTATAGAAACTTGACGGATATGTCTGACCTATAATTGGACATCCGACTACCAAGTTTCATGAATCTGACTTTATAATTTTTCCAAATATTTAAAATTAGCTTTTGGAGTTGTATGGCACGTATCTGAACCTGTCAAGCAATTCTATCAAAACTTCACAAATATATCTGACCTATAACTCGACACACAACTGCCAAGTTTCATGAATCTGACTTTATTATTTTTCCAAATATTTAAAATAAGCTTTTGGAGCTGTATGGCAAGTACCCGATCCTGTCAAGCAATTCCATCAAAACTTCAGAAATATGTCTGACAGATAATTGGACACACGACTGCAAAAGCTCATGAATCTGACTTTATTATTTTTCCAAATATTTAAAATAAGCTTTTAGACTTGTATGAGAGCTACTCGAACCTGTAAAGCAATTTAACCAAAACTTCAGAAATATATCTGGCCTATAACTCGACACACAACTGCCAAGTTTCATGTATCTGACTATATTACTTTTCCAAATATTTAAAATTAGCTTCTGGAGTTGTATGGCAGGTACCCGAACCTGTCAAGCAATTTTTCTAAAACTTCATAAATATATTTGACCTATAATTGGACACATGACTGCCAAGTTTCATGAATCTGACTTTATTAGTTTTCCAAATATAAAAAATTTGCTGTTGGAGTTGTATGGCAGCCACCCGAACCGGTGCAGCTATCCCATTATAATTTTTAGAGCATATGTAGAATATAATTGGACACATGTATACAAAATTTAGTATTTATACCTTTATTAGTTTTTGAAATATTTGAAATAAACTCTTGGAGTTGTATGGCAGCTACCCGAACCCGTTGTCCGAATAAGTCCAATAACAATAGGGCTCGTCCTTGGCACAAAAGAAAAAACTTGTGAAAGTTTGGTGTCGATTGCATTATTCGTTTTTGAGTTATCGTGCGATCGGACGGACGGACGGACGGACGGACGGACGGACGGACGGACGGACGGACGGACGGACGGACGGACGGACGGACGGACGGACGGACGGACGGACGGACGGACGGACGGACGGACGGACGGACGGACGGACGGACGGACGGACGGACGGACGGACGGACGGACAGACGGACATGTCTAAATCGACGCAGAATTTTACGCTGAGCAAGAATATATATATATGTCCATACCGCAGATGACTCCTTCAAGTAGTTACAAACTCCATACCAAAGTTAATATACCCTTCACGAAGTGCAGGGTATAATTATAAATTTTCTAATTATAGTAGCCATACTCGCCATGTATGATTTAAATATCAAAATTATAATTTAATAGAAATTTATTAAAGCAATATAGGTGATAAAAACTGCAATGATATCGACTAATAATTATTAGAATTACGAGTTATAAGATTTTTATTAGAAGAATATTAAGTTATAAGATTTTTATTTAACTTTTCACATAAGCGCTCAGTAATTTATTGTAATTTATTTAATAAAAGTGTAAGTTATAAAGATTAAAAATAATTACTAATGTTAATAAAATAGTTATTTTATATGTACATACATATGTATTCTACATACATATGTACTTATATAGAAACCTTCTTTTAATTACATATTAATATTAAATTTAAATAAATGTAATGGGAATAAATTTAAATTACAAAATAAAAAACAAATAATTAAATTGTAATAAAAATTTTGAATTGGTGAAGTTTACTTTGTAAATATATTTGTAATATGTTTGTAACTATAATTTGTAATATATTTTCATTTGTAATTGAGATTGTAATTGAGGTCTATAGAATATGCATCATATCAGTCTTGTATTTAAAAATTTTACTGTAAATGCAAAATGCAAGCTACAATTAAGTGAGCCACTCCAAAAGTTATTCAGCACAATAGCACAATTACAATAAAATGCATTAATATATGTATATTTACATACATATATTTTTTTCAAATTTTGATGAATCTCTTTAAAGAAACTACTATTTAAATTCGTATTTCAAACTTTTTTAATATATTATTTTGCTTATGTAGTGTAGATTCATATGACCCAGTAATATCATTACTTATATATACATACATATGTACATATAAATATATGTACATGCACTTATGTAAAAGATTAACTTGTTTATCACTTATATTTTGAGTATAAGTGATCCTTATGCAAGCAAATTTTTAAAGAATTTAATAAAAATTGGTAAAAGAAGCAGTTTCTTTTTTATTAAATTTCTTATTTTTAAAAGTTCAGTTTTAGCAAAAAGTTCAAAACATACTCATTATACAGACTTCTACGAAATATATAAATGTATATTCTGATTATGCAGTATAGCATGGTATTATGAGTTTCCCGTTTAATTTGTGGAAAAAAATACAAAGTTTAAATTGAAAATAGAACAAAACGATGCTCTGCATCGAAATGTTAGAATTCATATAGGCACACATGTTGAAATTACAGGCGCGAATTTGCCCTAAATTCCTATTTTACCGCTGGCGGGTGTTTTTTTGTCATGATCAGTTTCTATGAGCATGTTTTTATATGCAAAATCCTGTACAGTTGATTTTGCTCTTCCGGTACTGTTCTGGCTTGCCGTTCACAGTTTTGGTAAAGTTTTTACAATTATCTGCAAATAAAAATTTATGTGTTGGGGAATAAATCAAGTTATGGTTACTCGTAAATAAGACGTATGACTGAAAATGCATTTTGAAAGACACCTTGGGGCAGAGAAATTGGTGGCCGGAACATTTTTCTTTCGTTAAAGTGGTAATCATTTCTGCTTGAAAAGTTCTAATAAGTTCCAATGACAAAACATCAATGAAAAAAATTTATATTAACTTTTATATCAGCTTCTAACGTATAATGAGTTTCTAAACAACGTTGCAGTTACCGAAAAATTCTGTTAGTAATTTTTTCGTGCTTTGCATTTATAGTTGCGATTTCTTTTTTTCATACTTATGTACATAGTTTAAAAAATTCGATAAATATGCAAGTCACACGAGTATCCAAGAATTGACTTCGCGTTAAATTTATCTTCCTTCTTTTATTCATTATTTTCAATAATTCTAAAATTAAAAGTGTGGTTAATAATTTGGGATTTCCAGATTATTTAACAATTATACACAGACACACATTTAAAAATTTATTACCTTTGTATAATAAATCCATTAATTTTTAATAACCAAAATAAAATAATAAGGTAAAATCTATCACGTTTGAGATCACCGGAAATATTTCACTTTTATTTTACTACATAATTAAGAATTTAAGTTTCATTTTTTAAAAGTTAAATTTTTTTTCAATTACTTGTCATCATCAATCATTACAAAACTTAAAGCATCTAAAATAATTATTTTTTTTGGTTTTACAAATTTTATTCACGAATTTTTGGTATTATATTTCTTTTTTAATAAATTATGTGATCAGATTAACTTATATGGAGAGAGGTGCTATTGACTTTTGAATTATAAACACAAAATTGAAAAAAAGAATTCAATTTAAATTGGAACATGACGTTTTCAAATTTCCATATTTTTTTTTCCTTCAAATTTTAATGACCATTTTTATATTTTTTGTATCAAATTAGTGACGTATTAAACTTATTTTTACAAACATTTTTGTTTATTTCTTTAACTTTTTTCGTAAAGGAATTAAATTTTTTTTAGAGTTCGATGATGAATGAATGAACGACGTAACACACTTGTTTTGTGACGCTAGATAATCAAAAATTCACAAACAACCATATTGAATTAATTGGATATTTAAGAAATTTTTTTATTGGCGAATTAAATTTTGATATATTGTGTGTGCATTTAAATGTTTGTATTTTTTGATTATAGTTTTTTACAAAATAAAGTTTATCAATGAAATTTATTTAATAAATTGTTCCATAATTCCCAAAATCTGATTAATTTTAAATCGTTAGCTTCCAAAAGAACATCATATAATTTTAGTTAGCTGAAAACAATATTTAATTATTCTTTTAAGGAGTGAAGATTTTAAATAAAGATTTAATTGTGGGTTTAAATTAAATTTGACCATTGTAGTACAAAAAAAAATATCGTAAAATTAATTTGAAGAAAATATTTACAGCTTCATAGTTACAAAATTCGGGAGTAAGTATTCAATTTACTATAGAGTTTTGTCTGAATCATTAAATTTCCTATTCAATTTTTAATTATAATTACTAAAATTAGTAAAAATATTGTTATTTACAAATTGTTTCAAAAACAATAAAATATAAAATTTTTAATAGTAATGAAATATTTAACTTACAAAGTTGGGCCATTTAGGGCTACAATAATTTAGAAATTATTTGTAAGAGTACAATATTCGTTATGTACATTCTTTTTCATTTATGACACATAAATGAAAACATATAAAGATCCCGGAATTTTAGAACAAAGATTAAAAACTGTGCATTTAAGATTTAATTTCTTTGACATTTAATTAAAATTTTTTGATTTAATTTTATTTAAGATTTAATTGAACGTAATTATGACAATGAGTGAGAGCAATTATTATATTTTTTTTTAAATAACATTATATTATTATTAATTTCTTTGTATATATACCAATGTTTGTATAGGCATAAATACATGTATGTTTGCATGTACGTAAGTGTTAAAATATATTAATAGATCACCCTCATTTTCCGATTATTTTGACTAATACACTCGTTTAAAATTAAAAATAAAAAATAAAATCTTTGTTTTCATTTTCGTATTTATTTTTGTTTTTATGGGAATTTTTGGCACAATGAAAAATTTAGTCCAATATTTGTTTTGGTTTGCTTAAGATCTTATTATATTTAATTTATTTTATATTTTTTTTTTTCGAAAAAATAATTTTTTCTTAAATATTTGTTTAACTTCTTATAAGTTTGAATAAGTCTACAATTTATGCACGTGCTTTATTAGAAAATATGTAAATGACGTTAATAGAAAATTTCGTGCAATTTTAATATTGTACAAATTTTTTTATGTATATATGTATGTATGTAAAAATATAAATATAAATAATACAAAAAATATTTGAAAATATGATAAACATTTTAAGGGTTAATGACCCCTTCCATATGAAAGCTCTTTATTTTTTTGTAATAATGAAATAAAATTAAATTCTACAAGAATTTTAATGTGAATAAAATTTAAAAAATTATAAAAAATCAATATAAAATAATTAAAAATAAATATATTAATTGTGGTTGAATAAAATTTTAACTGATTAAAATAAGAAAAGATTCTTGTGTTTATTTTTAAAAAATTGAAATTAATTGATATTATTCTTTTAAAATTTTTAACATGAATTGATGACGAATATCGTTCAAAAAAATGATACAGATTAAAAAAAATTAATTAAAATTAGCCAATAAAATTGCTTTGATTATTAATAATAAAATTTAAACAAAAAGAAAATAATTCAAGTGTTCGAAAATTATAAAAAAAAATTTAATTTAATTTTAAAACATTTTAAAATTTTAATATCGGGGTGTTTAAAAGTGTGTTGCTAATTAAGATTTGTGGGAAAAAAAGGGATATACACATTTACTGGATACTTGAAATAGATGAACAGATTTCTTATACTACTCGTATCTAGTTATTTAAATAATCACAGAAGATAAAATTTAAGGTAAAAGGATTGAATTAAATTTTTAATTAAATTTAGTGTATACTTATTTAGTCTTTATAGGTTTGAATCAATTAATTATAATTTTTGAGACCCTGGTAGTATAGAATATTTTTTGCGTATTAAGCATTTAGCTAATAAAAACTTAGTTTAAGTAATTTTATACTCATTTTTGAGTAATTTTCCCAATTTGTGTACAATTTTTATAATATTTCTTTTTCCGGTCTTCTACCCGTTAAGAAAAATTGCCATCGTTTAATATGCCAAAACTCTACTGTTGAACCAGTTAAGCCTAGAAAACATGTTGACTAAAATATGTGTATTCACTTTAATCTTTCACTTCTTCAATAATTACCGACCGTATTGTGTAAACAATAGGTAGGTTATGTGATGGCAACAAATTTTGCATATCGAGTTTTCGGTGGGAACGTACTTCTCCATAGTAGGGAAGTGTAAATAAACTATTTTTAGCAACCTGTCGGTCTGTCGGTCTGTCGGTCTGTCGGTCTGTGTGTGCACGCGTGTATCTCAAGTTCGGTTGAACCGATTTTGATGAAATTTTATATGTAAGTTTATTTCCACCATGGCACGGATCGATCAACTTTTGGTATATATCAGGCCTCGGGAACTGCACTTTTTAGCGGGCCTGTTTTACATTTTTGAGCATATTGAAGAACATATTCAACCGATTTACTTGAAATTTCATATATAAGTTTTGCTCTACCGGCGATGAAACCTCCTAACTTTTGGAAGAAATCAGGCGTCAGCAACTGGACGTTTACTACGGGCCAAATATACATTTTTGTGTATATAAAGAGAAATAATCAACCGATTTCATTGAAATTTAATATTTGAATTCCTTGTATTAAAACAATGAACATGTAAATTTTTTGGAAAGATCAGGGCTCGAAAACTGATCTGCGGGCCGATTTTACATTTTTCACCATATCTACGGAACGAATTGATGGAGTTTCTTGAAATTTGATATTTGAGTTCTGATTGTTACCGAAACTAAATGGCGAGCATTTCAGGGAATTCGGGTAGCACAAAGCGAAACTCTACTAAGAGCCAAATTTACATTTTTCTAGGTATGCTAACTATAAGCTTACTAATGTCCTAAAAATTGGAAAGAAGTATTTAACAGACATTTTTATAATATTCTGTAACACTTTCACTTAACTAGACAATACACATTGCGGTCGGTTATGTGCTGACCACATCAGATTTTTTTTATATTGATAATGTTATATACAAACACATACAATTAAAATATGTATACAAATTGTTAAAGATCTATATATGTATATATATCTTGAATTAATTTATTTGTTTTTCTTTAATAAAAACAAAAAAATAAACAAAAACTGCGCAATACTGTGATTTTTGCGATACGATTTTTTTTTTTAAATTTATAAAATTAATAAATGGATGTATGTATGTATGTACACTAAAAAGAAATTTTTAAAAATTCAAAGGCATTATAAGATCTTAATACATCTGTTTGTTAATTTTATTTTTGTGTGTGTGTAGATATTTTGAAAATTATGGTAACAGTAATCATAATAACAGTGAAAAAAGTAGCAATTCTCAATGTTTAGAAAAATTCTGATAAAACATTTTGAGATGCTTTCAATGGGAAAATGCTTTGTATATTTGAATTTTAAACGTTTTATGTACTAATATGGAAATACAAATTACCGTTACAATATTGTTAATGACCGTTATTTTATGATTTTTATTTAACATTACTATAGTTTATAACTCTTCTCAAATTAAGTTCTTGTCTAGAAGTCAAAATTATGTTAATATAAATTGATTAATTTTGTGGTAAACAGTTTTGGCAATAGCGAATTCATTAACTGATTATGTTATCATTATTAGTTCTGCTTCTTTATATACACATACATACACACATACATTCATACGTATGTAAGAAAACAATTTTATTTTCGTGCTTTTCTAATTTTAACAAAAACTATTTCTAAAATTAAAGAAATTTCAAAATGTAAACAAAGTGGAAATTATTCATATCAATATATGAACATTGCATATAAATAACGTATATACCTATACATATGTACACACATTTAATATAATAAAATAAGTAGGACGATTGAAATTAAAATTAAATAAATTCTATTTAAATTCAATAACAATAAATACAGCGGCATCTTTTGTTATTGTTAAATAAAACTTATAAATTCACTATATCTTTACTAAATAAATAAATTGATGAGGCGAATTCATGTTTTGCCAGAGCTTAGTGAAATAAAATAATTCTTTTAAAATTAATCAATCACTTGGGACTATCATTTACACTGAATATTATTTGTAACTGAATATTATGACTTGACAAACCTGATTTTTTTTAAAAATATTATTTAACTAGATTTTTTTACCTACTGCTCCTTGTCCCGCTTCCTGTTTAAATGTTTAGACCTTTAATATACACTTGAAATACAAAGAACTATTCCTCTTAAATTACTATATAGGAGGCTTCTTATTTATACTCGTATTAATAAATATGTTGCACAAACTGACCACCAGCAACCCTGTACATAAATCGAAATATGAAATGTATCTAAAATTAGAAATTTTGTTGTTAGAAGAATTAAATACATATCTATATTTATGTATATATACTAAATGTATGTAAATAAATATGTGTACAAATCTTGTATTTGAATTATTGTTTATGCCAAAATATTGTTTTACATACATATACACTAGTGCAAAAATTTTAATATAAATGTGTGTATTTTTTAATAAGTATTTATGATATACATGTTTGTATGTATGTATGTATTAAAAACTTGTTTTTATATTTATATAATATTTATTTTATTTATAAATACATTCAACATTGAAAATTTATTAAAGATAAAATTTTCTTTAATCTAGCTCAAGTTTAAATCAATTCTATACATTTTTATATGATTAGACGCCAAATTTATAAGAAAAAAATTGAAAATTTTTCGGGAATTTTACTTTGTAAAATTATAAAATATTTTCTTATATATACACAATAAAATCGTGTACAAAATAATACTGTTATTAATTTTAATTACAATGTTTTTAATTTTAATATTATATATACATATATGTATGTATATGTATGTAAGTATTTTTATAATAAAATGCATTTTGAATGCGTCATTTATTTAGTTAGTTGAGGTACTTGACGTGAATCACAAGTCAAATTTTGTGTATTGCATATTGTAATTAATGTAAATCATACACATTGTATGATACAAATTATTTACCCATTGTGAATTTGTTTACTGTCAACTTCTTTAAGGCGTTCAACTTTTTTGATAAGGAATTTCGGTTCTAATATTCCTGTAGAAAACATTTTTGAAGCTAGAATTATATTTAATTTTTTTTTTCTAAAAATTCATGAAGTTAAATAATATTCTCTTAAGAAAACAAAAACCTCCACATTATTCTAGGTATCAAAACAACATTTTATTCGACTTCTCTTAGTTTCCTCACTAATCCTCTCAGGTAATCCTCCTTCGTCTTTTACTGTATTCTTTATTTTTGAATGGCCCTTTACTATTAATCTGCCATCTTCTTAATTAATTTTGTCATTTTATCAAAATATCATAATAAAATGATCAATTTAAAAATCAACCAACTGATAAAATATTATAGATATAATAAAAGAACAGCAATTTCGTGTAATAAAATATGACAAATGAAAAACATTAATAATAAGAAAAACAAATGTGAAAGCAAAAAATTATAAACAAAAAGTTATATCATACCCATACTATGTATGTAATATAGAAAATTTTTTTTTATCATTTAAAATTTATAATTTCTATTAAAAATAAATTTGTATCCATTACACTAAGAGTGTTTTTTTATATACAATAATGTCCATATAATTATATAACAACAGAATGAAAATTATATGCTTTTCCTGAATCAATAAAAATCAATAAAAAGTTGAAATGAAGAATTGCATGATTTTTTTTTTATACAAATACAAAATATCTATAGTAAAGGTACACAATCATTTAATTTGTAAACTCTTTTTTAATAAATGAAATATTTTTGCAATATATATATATATATATATATATATATATAAATATATATATGTTGTAATTTAATCACGACTCTTAAAACAACAGATTCAATTAATTATTGTGAATTAAAGTGTTAAAATCTGTATTTAATATGTTGAAACAGTGTCGTCAAGTTTATATGTGTGTATAAAATTTATTTATAAAATACAAGTTATAGAACATAGTCTATAGTTGTAGTCAAGTTGCGCATGAAAACAGTTTGTCAATGATATCAAATTACTCTTAAGTTGCGCATAAGAAATTTGAATTGAACCGATTACTGTCATTTGTTAAATATGAATACTATCAATTAAATCAGATTGAGAGATTGTTTATTTTCAATACATTCTATTCTGACACATATTTCAAACATATACTTGTAAATACACAAAGAACATTTCTGTACAATTTAAAATATTTCTTTTTTATAATATAAAATATAAAATAGAACCAGAAAAACCTATTAACTCAAAAACTCTAAAATTAGATTTTCTCAAATGTGTAAATTTTGAGTTATGTCAATGTTGCAACAAACGACCGATATGTACATATGCGCTTTTTACTTATGCTTTTAATACATTTAATTTAATTGTTACTGAAATTCCCTCAATCGAAAATAAGTATTTCTCTTCGGTGTATTAAATTAACCAACATAATATAATGATGTGCACAAAATTTATGCATGTCGGCATGTCTATAGTATTTATAATAAAATCTTTAAGGAATTTAATCAAAGAAATCATAAAATTTATTATTTTTGATTTAAATTTATAATTTGATTAATTTTTAATTTAACTTTTGCTCCTTTATTAATTCAATCTCCAAAGAGATTTGAAGGATGGAGGTAGCACAAAAAATGCAACTGTTTTTAAGCACATTTCCTAATTAGTTAAAATGTCAAAATTAGTAATTTGACATAATCTTTAAATTATGTTACATACATATCTTAATACAAGTCAATTAGCTTCAGTATGGGTGTTATATATTAACAAACTTTATCATTTATATGAATTTAAAATCACAATATTGTTTAAAATTTTGTGTTATACAATAAAAATATAAAATTCTATAATGTTTATGTATATGATAAATTCAGATTGATGTACAAAATTTTTAATTTATTTTTTTTCCTTTTGGTTACTTAACATATAAAATCAGAAATAAAACGTGATAACGTTCTCACGTGTAAAAAATTTCAAGATGAATGAGCATAAATAGTGGAAAAATAAAATTTGATAACAATCAAAATCTTTACTATTATAATACAAGCCAATAATTGTACTACACAACAATATTATGATGACATAACAATGTTATGATAGTAATCAGATATAGTTGGCATCTTTTGTTTTATAAATTTTTTTTTTTATTTAAAATTAAGTAATAGAATTTTGTAATAATTTGCAATAGGGAGTATATGTGTAATACTTTACAGTATTTTGTCTCTTACTACATGTATTTTGTAGTTTACTTTTAATATCAATCTGTCAAATAAAATTATAAAACTATTAAATTTATAATAATATACGCAATTTTTGTAAAAAAATATTAACATGCAATAAGAATTAAAATGTAATTTATTCGCTTTAATATGCAATAAAATTTGTATAATAAATCATACCTATACTTACATATGTATATGTACATGAAATTCGAGACTATTCTTAAGTTGAATTTTTTTACTATACATAGGTACTATGCGAAAGAAGAAATATCAATAAACAATGTAGTTCTTTTCCAGTGTTGACTATATGTGAATTATAGTATTCCCATCCAATAAATTAAATGACTTTACGACTGTTATACGTTCGTATTTCAATAAGTTTTATTTATTTAATTGCTTTGTTTATTCTACAATAAATTGCTATAAAGTTGTGATATACAAAATTTTTTTAAAAACTTTATGTTAATCTGTTATATAATTTGTAATATAGAAAATGTTGTACAAATCAGTGTATAACAATTGAAATTTTTAATATTGTATATAAAGGAAATTATATAAAATGGAGATTAATTAAAATAAAGAAAATTTATTAATAAAAATTATTGTGTAGGTTATAAAATTTGATTTCTTTTCACACATTTTCAAAACATTCAAAAAAGTATACATATGCACTTTTTGTTTCATAATGAAATTATATCAGTTATAAATATTTTTTTTGTTGATTATATTGTTAACCCTATCTATGAATTTCATTCTTAGATTTCTACTAAATACAAGCTATAAACATGTGTGTATTTAATATTGTGTTTAATATGTAATTAAACTTGGTATATGTATAATTCGAATCACATAATGCGTTAGTTATTTAATCGATTTTAAATTATGCAATCGTAAATTTAAGAACGTGATATACTCGAATCAAGATTCAAATTCAAAAATATTAATTAAAATTCTAAAATAACAGTATTGAACTGTTTTTCAAATTCACTTACCTCTTATATACATACGAGCATATGTGTATATTTATTTTAATTACATTATATGTGTTTTTTGTATTTCAAATGCAAAATAGGAAATGATTTTTATTTTAAAATCATTGCTTATACACATAATGCACATATAATTTTTTTTTGGAATTATATCAGGAAGTTTATGACCATTTAAATTTACATGAAGAACACCAATCTTAATAAGAGTATGGGTATATACCTTTCGTAAAATAATGAGAAATCGCTTTCTCAATCGAAGATTTGAAATTAATTTCAAATTGCAATTCAATTCAATTTCAACATTTTCTAGAACAAGATGTTATAAATTACTCGAAAAAATATATAATTATAAAACTATTATAAGCCTAGGCATATAAGCCTATTTAATATCGACCATAATATTATAATACAGTATATTTAAAAGTTTAAGATTCAAACTCACTATGTTATACAGGTATATTTATAGAGCAAATCTACCGCCGCCAGTTGTTATGCATATCGCTCTACTTCCTGCTCAATAAACTAATTTTCTATATGTACGTAAATTAATAAATTTAATTCTAGCACGCTTTTTGCATTTATGTGTACAATGGGAATATAAGCTTACATATGTACATATGTATATATGTATATTATACTGAAATTAATGATTTTCGCCACTTATGATTCAAAACGTTTTGATTTTTTTTGTTGCGTATAAATTTATAATGAAAAAATTTGCTTATTGTGATCTCTTGAATGATATGTAAAGTTTTTATTTTGCATAAAAATCTGAATATTCAATAATTTTTTGATATTAATCTGAACATTCAATATTATGGGATTTCGGAGATTTTTGATATAATCATAAATATGTTGTTGATTTGAATAAAGTGAAATTTCGTTCCAAATTTCAATTTAATATAATAAAAAAAGTATACACACACACAGGTTTTGTTTATCAAATCAATTTTTCAATGAAAGTAATTTTTTTTTTCTATTCCATTAACATATGCATGTATGTTTAGCTTTATGTAAGATGAGAACAGTACTGCTGCTCCTACATCACTGTATAATGTGAATTACCAAATTAATTTCTTTTTGTAAGAGAGAATATAAAAACTTCAGACAAATAAAGAATTATTAAAATATTTGCAAAAAAGAAAAAAATTACCCAAAAATAAACATTACCAGCCGTCAAATACTTTGTCTAATTTCTTCGTCTGTCAAATCAGTGGCTTCATTTACTGGCTTCAATCATTGTTTAAAGGCTACAATAAAGTACCTATACTCTACAATGTATACGTTATGAATATACTTATATACAATGACATGCCATTATTCGCTCATGTTACTTACAAAAATATATACAAGTTATAGCTGTTCAAATTAACTAATTATGAGCAGGTTCAATGTTCAAAAATTAGTCACACTTTAAACAAAATCAAACTTTTGCAGCTATAACCAGGTGAACAAACGTGTTTAAATATTAAAACTATTAAATTATCACTTGAAAATAAATTTTTATTAATTTTCTACCTTATAAATAACATTAACATTGTTTAAACATAAACACAAACACATTTACTAAAAATTTCTTTCAATAACAAAACTACTTGTATACAATAGTAATATAAATTTTTACTTTCTAAAAATCTCATTTGTTTTGGAAAATTTTAAATTCTATTTAATTTTAGATCTTGATTCTAGAAAAACAAAAAGCGTTTAAATTACTTAGTTGATAGATTTTAATTTAAGTATAGTATCAGGACAGGAATAGAAAATTGTTTACAATTTTTACAATTGTTTTTTGTAAACATTAATTAAATTTCTTATATACCATATACAAAATTAATGAAAGTTTTCACTATAAATACAGTAAAGTTGAAAAAATAAATATAAGGAGAAAAACCTTGACAATTCGTTAGTTGAAATTTTAATAGATAGTTGCATAGCATATAGAAGCGTAAACAAATGCATACATATATGAATAACATAA